ACACACACAGTGAACATACATAATACCTCTGCCTCCTGTTTTCCCAGAACAACAACCCTGTAGGTAAATTGGTTAAAAACGTGTAAGAAAATTCACCAGATTGGACCCTTGGGTATATAGAGGCTGCATTTAAGTGTAAATTTAACAAGGTGGTTGAGAGACATCTTGAGAAAGTTTGTTAATTATGTATCTCTTAAATCTGTCATCCCTTAATGAACTGGTGCGCTTATAGCACCACATATTGTTCAAAGGTGTTGAAGGTCCTTATTAATTTATATAATTAAATATAATTGTTTTGCTATCCCTTTGTTCTTTGTTAAGATCTCTTATCTCATGAGTCAGCTCTTCTCTGTACACAGGGCATTTCTGAAACTATCTAGTACTCTGGTTAAGGAACTTGCTGTTCTTTTCCTTCTCTTTGCCAGATGCATTTCCTACCTCTGTTCATGCTCTAATGAGTGGAACATTTTCCTACTCATCACCTTTGTCTGAATAGTTGAATTCAGTACCCATTTGCTATTTCGATATTGGGAAACTCAGAACAACTTCAGTAAATTTCCGTCTAGATATGGAGCGGATCCAGACATGCTTAAAGCTGCTGTGCCATAGCCCTTTAACCTTCTGGAGTCTTTTATCAATATGCTTTTTCTTGTTTTATAATTATAGTTTCACGATGTTTTGTAATTCTTTCCTGAAGTTTAAACAGTCTTGATTTTCTCTTTGTACTTATTGCTCTGCAACAGCACGGAGGAAAAGTTGCAATGTTGAGCTGATATGTTTAAAATATCTTACTTCGTATAGATATTTTTTTTTTCCTATGTCAGAAACAGGCTCACATTTTCTGTTCTTCCAGATTCAAGTTGCTGTCTCAGCACTGTCTTGCATTCATTTATTTCCTGTATATATAACAATAAAGGTAGAGCTTGACTTACAAAATAGTTCATTCAGTGACTGTTCAAAGTTACAACGGCATTGAAAAAAGTGACTTTTAATTGGTTTTCACATGACTGTTGTAGCATCTCCATGGTCACATGATCAAAATTCAGACACTTGGCAACCGACCCATATTTATGGCAGTTGCAGTGTCCTTGTGTCATGACAAGCAAAGTCAATGGGTCACTTAACAATGTTACTAACTTAACAACACCAGTGGTTCACTTAACTGTGGCTTTTTGCAGAAAGGCCAGAAAATGGGGTAAAAGTCACTTGTCTCACTTAGAAACAGAAATTTTGGGTTCAATCATGGTCATAAATTGAGAGCTACCTGTATATTAGATTGTAATTTCTGGTCCCTGGTTGTTTATGTGAATTTCTAAGGGACATTGGCCCCTGTATTTCTCAAAGAATATCCTTATTTGGCTTTCACATGAGCAATGTTTGTGGCTTCCCATTTTCAGATTAGTTGCTGATCACTCTACTGCATTATCATTCTGTTTCTCTTTTTTTTTTCATGACCAAATGTTATTTAGCTAATAATATTTAATTTAGAGTTCCTTTGATGTAGTCCTTTGATGATCAAATGTAGATTTGATGTGATCTTTTATGCTAATTTGTACAAATTTCTATTACGATTTTACAATGCCTGAAGGATGTTCACAATTTTATACTTTGAGTAAATGTTATTGGTTTTATTTAAAGCACACCCTCAAATGTTTTAAGAGCAGTATTATTGTTTTATCAGTCAGTGTGATGGAGAGCTGGATATAAAAAGTATTTCTTTTATTACCAAGCTGGTTTGTGGTTTTTAGTTTAATATAGAAATCTAGTTTCCAGTACAGTTTACTTTTGCACATGCTGTATGTAGTAGGTGCTATCTTTAGAAAAGTTCTTTATCTTGCAGCACCAGTACAGATGGGCTAATGAGGATTTCCTTTTCCAAGGACTTGTAATGCTGAGGATTTCTGAAATAAGATTTATAGGCTTCTCAGGGATAAGGCTTGCTAGAACTGGAGGTCAATAATGTCTGTGCTGTTTGTATTTTATGATGCCTAGTCCAGGTGTTAATAGATCAGGAAGTTGGGAATGTTTATTTGTAAGAAAGGAGCTTGCATTTTTAAAAGAATTTTATTACAAAAAATTAAACAGTTCATTGCTAATTCATTCAAATTGGCTCTTCCCATCAGTTTTCACAATTCATATAATATTTAGCATCCTCATGTAGCTAATATGAACACAATAACGTATTGTATACAATGCTTTCATGCTTGATGCTAAGACGGCACCAAATTTTTAAATATCAAGAGGGTAGTGAAAATACCCTCTGGAATTGATATAGAAGTAGGAGAAGCAATTTAAGGGGGTGTCAGAATTACATTGTGGTCCCCAGTCATTAGGGAAGAAGGATCTGTGAGGAGATTTTGCCACCTTTGAAAGACCACATCTGTATATCCTTACCATTTATCTGTTGTGACCCAGACTCAAGTAGGTATTATCAGACACAAACAGTTCGAAACAAACAGACTTTATTAGAACAGCTGAGAATTAACTCATTCTCAGTGTAGTCCAAACTAATTAAAAACAAATTCTTCATAACACAATTCCTCAGCCTTATCACCAACCTTGGTCTAATTAGGCAACCTGCCAAAGGCTTTTCTTGGCAAAAGTTCAGAAGCAGAAGACGACGACAAGAAATAAATACAGCAAGACAAGAAACAAATCTATCAACGTTGTTTTCCGACAAAGAGCCCAAGAGCCGTTGCTGGTCTTTTAAGCCTTATGGGACGGGCCAATCATCTCTTGGCCCTACTCCCAGGTTGTCCTTTTTGCTTTAGCTGCTCTTGCCTTCTGGCAGCTCTTCTCATGCGTGCACTAGGAACAGGTTCCTCCTGTTCCTCTGCCTCTCTGCTGTCAGCCTCTGGAGACTCCGGAGTCTGCACATCACTCCCAGATGGCCCTGGCCCCATCTCTGCCTCCGACCAGAGCCCTCATCCGGGCCTTCCTCAGCCTCCAGGACTGGCCCATGTTCTTCCTCAGCCTCCTCACTGTCCAATTCCACTGCCAGCTCCTCAGGCTGCTGGCGGACCACAACACTATTTGTGGTGAAGTAGTCTTCAAAATGATGATAAATTCATAGCAGTAATATTAAATAGAGTGTAACTGAGAAAGTATATGTCATATTGATTCCATCTTCAGGTGGACAGGCATAGGACCCGAGCATTGCCATAGAACCAGAGACCCTTCAATAAAAATAAGCATTCCATTTTTCATGACAGTGGAACGCGAGAGAGGCATTAAACATTTCAGCTGGTCACATACTTGTTGGAGCAACTTGCTTCTCTTGTTCCACAGCATTTGGAAATTAAAAAGATGCCAAACTATACACAGTGAGAGATGATCAAATAAGAGAAGAGGTAGGGCAGAAAGGAACTGTTTTCTATCAAAATTCATTAGTGTCATGTTTTGTAAACCTCTTTGAGTGAGAGAAAAATAATTATTAGAGAACAAATCCAGTTTGATGTTCCAATTAACATTCTTCCTGCTAATTGGTGGATGTGTTGCAATGTATTTGGTAGAGATTTTTTTTTTGGGGTGATAGTGATGAGAACTCCATTGTTTTGAAAAAGAGTATATATTATTCAATAATCTGTAAACCATAACAAAACTAATACAGGATTTATCTTGCCTATTTTAAACCCTAAACATATAGCTTAATAATGCTTTTAAATCTTCATTGCAATGACTAATGACATGAACAGTCAAACATTTGAAGTGTGTTTATTGCTTCACAGTTACCCTAAATTAATGTCTAAATATACATTTACTAATTTTTCTTAAGGGTTTTCTTTCTGCAATAGCCGTAAATTTGCAGAAAGGTAGATAATTGCTTCCCCCTATTATTTTGGATTTTTTTATGATTCAGGTTGAAAGTCTGACTTGCATGAGAGTTTTTACATAAACAGAAAGTATAATTAAGTTACCAGCCATAGTGGCCCCCATGTTATATGCAGCATTTAAACCAATGGTCCTCAATCTTTCCAGTTTGGTGACCCGGTCTGCTGCAGGGGAGGGGATTTGTAAGTGGCAGATATGTGAGAGCACAGCTCCATTCATGTGAGTGGTATCATGCATCTTCCACTCACATGAATGGAACTTCATGTGCAAATGGAGGGTGCTTGCCCTTGCATGTGAAGCTCCATTCACTTCTTGCCTGCCACTTGTGTGACTGGAGCTTCACACGCATGCTTACCCATTTCTCCCATGGCCCAGTTTTGAACAGGCCATGGCCCAGTACTAGGCCATGGCCCTGGGGGTTGGGGACCCCTGATTTAGATTATGCTTCCAATGTAGCCAAATATTAACAAGCAGTCTTGGGCTAGTCCATGGAAGGCCAATATCTAATTCAGGGTCTGCTTTGCAAGCCAATATCCCACCAATTGGAAGGTACATAAAATACTCTGACTCTCAGGATATCTAAGATAGAAAAAAAAGCAGAAATTAATTGTGCATTGTGCAATTGAGCTGGTAAAAGAGTGAAAAATAATAGAATATGGAGTTAGATTTTAATACTTGCTTACTGTATTTTTTTATTTATGTACTTTCTTATAACTTGCCCCGTATCCTTAAATATCTCAGAGTTGATAATCAAAAAAATACAAAATAAATGAAATAAAAAAATATTTAAAAACACACCACTTCCAGGCCATGCACATCACTATCAAATCTGTATAACTGTGTAATTTAACAAATTAAGGCCCCAACATAAAAATCTATCTTGTGTGTGAAAAATCCAGCCCCAAGTTGTCTAATTATCTCATTCAGTGGCTGATGGACTCTATAGTACTTCATAGCCTGACAGCTGTTTGTCTAAGCAGAATTATCCCAGCTTCCTCCTTTGGGCCTGTTCTTTTATAAGGTGAAATCTGTCTATATTTACAGATCATGTTAACCAGATCTCTCACATGCAGGAATAGGGAACAAATATGTTATTGTTGAATTTGTCATAAAAAATGTGTGATTTAATTGCCTGTTTGCTTCTAAGTATATTTGTTGTCCCTTGATAGGTGATGGAGTCCCACGGGAAAGTAGCCCATTCATCAATAATTCAAGTTTGGAGAGAGGAAGACTCTATGAAGGAAAAAATATGGCGCTCTTTGAGGTAATATTAATGATTAATTTCAGCAAATCCTTGTTACTGCTAGTACATTTTAAGTGCACTAGTTGTTTGTTTAAAATCCATTGATGGTTTGCATAACACAGATGACTGAGTCAGCCACTTCCTGGTCACCTTACTTATTCTGTGCATCAACAATACACAATCACCAATGATCCAGACAACATTCTCTAAGACTTCTAGCTGACACAAAGGAAAGTGAGAAATGTTCACATCCTGCATTTTATTTTTTTTACTAAAGCTAGAAAATAATGGAACAAAGCCCCACAATTATTTACCTATTTGAACTATTCTGTTTCCTTTTCACCCAATAAAAGAAGAGAGAAACTGATCTCTTTGAAAAGCTCTGTTTTCTACAGGGCTGAAAGAACATAATCTCTCTGTCAGAAGATATAAGGAACATTACTTGCTAGCCTTCTACGATTTCCCACTAGCAAATAAGTGCATAGGATTTGACAACTGACAATTTAAAAAAAAAACTTTAAAATTATTTTCACTTACCTGAATAACATTACTTTCTGTTCTGACCTAGGCTTCCTGAGACAGTAAAAAGCACACAATTAGTCCCAAAAACCCTCTTTTTATTTCAACGGCTGTGAATTATGTTCATTCACAGCCTGTAATGAGTCACAAATAGCTTGTAAAGAGTCCGACAGAAGTCTGCCACAGTCCTTCGGGATAAGACTGATAAACACCCACCTTTATCTCCCTTGACACACTGCCAAAGATCTAATTGGCAATTAGCTTTGCAATGCCACACCGAGCACAGAGTGAAAATGGAGCTTCAGAATTTAAACCGACCAGAACGAACAAAGTTGCTTCCTGCAAAGGCTCACGTACCTTTGCTCCTCCTTTATGTCTTATGTGAGGGGCCAATCAACTCCAAGCCCTACTCCTGAGTTGTCCCTTTTGTCTTAACTGTTCTTGCCTTCTGGCAGCTCTACACATGTGCGAATTGGGAACAGGCTCCCCCGTTCCTCCACCTCGCTGATGTGCACCTCTGGAAGCTCCGGAGGCAGCACATAACTCCCAGGTGGCCTTGGCCCTCTCTCTGCCTCCAATGCAGAGCCCTTGTTCGAGCCTTCCCCAGATTCCAGGACTGGTCCATGTTACTCCCCAACCTCCTCACTGTTGGACTCTGCAGTCTCCAAAATCTGCCTAAAATTATGTTTTGCTATAAATGTTGCTGCAAAAGAGTAGTATTGCAGTTCCATAGCCACAAGGAAATGCCTTATGCTGTCTTCTAATAATGTTATTTTTTTGTGGCATGTGTTTATAAATCCACACTATTTTTTTTCTGCTGCATAATCTCCATGCGTCTTATCCGAAATTGTAATTCAGCACATCTGAAGAAAGGGCAAGAGTATACTTCTTAGATTGTATTTTTCAAGCTCAATAATTGAATTATCTATATTATGGGGCCAAGCAATATTTATATTTTACATTCATTGGCTGTTTATATCACCTTTAAATATGTGATTATTTTTGGGCTAAAATGTACTCTTTTCTTACCTATTACTATGTTCCAAAATTTCAACAGGAAGAAATGGATAGCAACCCCATGGTATCATCTCTTCTTAACAAATTAGCCAATTATACCAATGTTACTCAGGGAGTGGTAGAGCATGAAGAAGATGAAGATACCAAGCGGAAGGAAATCAAGGTAAAAAATGCACCCTCCATTCTCTATTCATTGTCATTTCTATGAGTTGGATACAGTTGTGGCTATGAATATTAACAATATTAGTTCCTGATCAATGAACCCTAGAAATTTTGATGCTTTTCTTTTGTCAGATTATGGTCAAACAAGCTAAGATCTATGTGAGGAAGAACCTTATTTCAAAGAAATAACATGTATAAATTGTAGCACATACATAAACATTCTTAACATCAAGATTCTGCTAAGAGTTCAGTAATTTTCAGTTTTGGTAAAAAAAAATTAGGGAAGAGTTTCATTGAATCAGAGCAACTAGGTTAATATCACAGAAAATAATGAAAACAACAAAGCAAATGTGAAGGAACATAAAAGTGTGTGTTATCTAGATGCTCTGGGATATACACTTTATGCCGGAGTGTCAAACTCGATTTCATTGAGGCTGCATCAGGACTGTGTTTGACCTTGGTGGGGGTGGACGTGGTGGGCATTTGACACAGTCTCAAGATGCATTTGTTTCCCTTTGCATTCAAAATAGCTATTCCAGACAAAGGGAGATTTACTTTCTGGCACAAATAGTCTCAATTCCATAATGTAGAGATTAAAGAAATATAGAATCCCCAGCTGCTATGGGGCTTGACACTTTTGTATAGGAGCAGAGCATAAATGAAATGACAATTTCTCCAGATGTCTCTAAAAACTGTCTGTCCAACAGTCTATTAATCTTTGTTACTACCTCTGACTCAGCCTTAGAAGAGGATTTAATATTAGTAATAATTTACAAAATTGCTATACTACCCAATTCTCAATGACCCTGGGTAGCACACAACAATCAAAAAATTAAATTTTACAATTTAATTTACAATTAAATCAATCACAGGTAAAAGATTAAGATAAAAGATGACAAACTCAGTGATACGAGGGGCTCACTCTCTCTCATCAAGGACCTGGGTCAAGAGTCAGATGTTTTTTGCTCTTCTGAACAACAGCCATCCAGATCTTGGGAGGTACCTAATTCTATTTGGCAGATGCTGCTAAAGAGAAGGTGAAGAAGGTATTGCCTTCTGCAGCCATCTGCCAGCCGAAAATGGGCCATGGGGGGAGGGGCCCCGTGCGCCCCCCCCCCGTGACCAGTTTTCGGCCTCCACAGCCTCCTGCAGCACTCTGCCAGCTGAAAAGTGGGGGGGGGGGTTCGCACAGTCCCCCGCAGCTCGTTTTGGCCAGCAGAGGCACTGTGGGCCAGTTCTTTGATATTTTCAGGCCCGCCCTGCGGACCAGATCTAAGCAACCTTGAGTTTGACACCCTTGCTTTATGCTATACACTATTCCAGAGCATCTAGCGTAAGAAATAGAAGATAATGAAAAAGGAAATGTAAAACCATGTGAGTAGAATGTATATGTAATCTTTATGAGAAATACAAAAAAATTTCTATGTTGTGGCCTTTGATAGTCTTTTTTCAAAAAGATTATTTCAATCAATTTTACATGTTATCTGATTTTTAGGCTCCATGTATGGGTACTTTCATTGGTGTATATTTACCCTGTCTACAAAATATTTTGGGAGTTATTCTATTTCTGCGACTGACATGGATTGTGGGAACAGCAGGAGTTCTTGAGTCATTCATTATTGTATTCATATGCTGTGCTGGTGTAAGTATAATATATGCTTTCTTTGATATTTGCTGAACTGTATTCTGCATTCTAATAATTTTTCTGTTCTGTCTTGATAATTTTACAAATAACTGGACAGGCTATTTATAGCAAGTAAGGCTTGTAGTAATAGAGGTGCACTGTTCCATTCCTATGTAGCCATATTTCTTAGAAGCGGCGCTATTGACAGGTTAAAGCAGTATCAAGTGTGTTAAATGAAATCCATCTACTTGTTTTGTTTATCTCTAGAATGAAAAAAACTCAGTTTTAGATCAGAAAATCTCACGAGTAAGCCCTCTTCCTAACTTAAAGTAGAATTCAGTCCAAATGCAGTAGTTGTTTAAGAACAGAAAGTTGGAAGCTGCTTGATGAAAACAAATAAATAAACAAGGCTATACTGAAGTAGATAGCACAGAATTTCCTCTGACTCACAGTAGTTTTATTTGCTAAAATAGTGCCCCTGAGTTTCTTGAGCCGCATGTGAAAGTTACAGTCAGAGGTTTGATTGGTAGCACCCATACCTAGACATTTCTAATCAGTAGAAGTATCCTAGAGATTTCTGGACCACCCCAAGAAATAATTATGGAAGCAATATTTATTCTAGATATTTCAGATATGATATCTGAAATACCAAGGAGCCCTGGTGGCACAGTGGTTATGATGCAGTATTGTAGGAAAACTGCCCACAGCTTGGAGTTCAATCCTAATGGGGCTCAAGATTCACTCAGCTTTCCAAGGTCAGTAAAATGAGGACCCAGATTGTTGGGGGCAATATGCTGATATTATAAACTGGATCTAGTGCAGGGTGTCAAACTGGCAGCCCGTGGGCCAGATGCATCATGTGCAGGAAATTTTCTCTGGAGGTAACTCATCCACAGAGATAATAAATAGGATATGAAGACAAAGGAAACACTTGCTCAACAGCTGATTGACTTGATTTATTTCCAATTGTTCTTGCTTCAAATAGCAACATTTCTTAGTGGCTTATAGACTCTGAGTTATTTCCGATGTTGAGAGCCAATAGATACCGGTAGTGCGTAATTTGGGTGAAACCTGCAAATAGGTCACCTTCAGAATTAAATTTCTAGGCTGTCCAATTCCAAAATTACTCTGGTCAGCTTCACAAAGTTAAACGAATAACATTATATAAAAAATAGAATACATAAAAGCAATCTCCATATGAGGAAACAGAAACCATTTTTCCACATCCCCCACACCAACATCCTAACCCCAAGCCTGTGGGAAAAGCCCATCTTAAAAAAGATTTCTCATAAATGGCCGTGGTAGGGGTCATACAGATATTGGGAGAACAAAAGCAGCAGCAACAAAGAAAAAGACTGCCTCTGAAGGCCAGCTAGATAACACTGCTTTGTCAGTGAGTCCAAACCAGGCTGACCAAATCAAGCTGGAATGCATAAGATGGGTAGACGATATCGGAGACAAGCAGTCTCTTAAAATAGCAAGGACTTCATGTGTATCAGCCCTTCAAGTAGGCCAGATCAGAAAACTGAAGACTACTGGAATTCTAAAAATCTATGGAGATTCTCAGTCATCCAGGTCCTTGTTGTCCCAAAGGTGCTTTTTCAGGAGTTAATTTGGACTTTCTTGTTTTTTCTTTGAAGACATTTTATTTGTCATCTGAAGCAAAATGTCTTCAAAGAGAAAATGAAAAAGTCCAGTTGCCTCTGAAAAAGCACTTTTGGGACTACTGGAATTCTACTTTATTGTTGCAAGATACAATAAAATCTTGAAAATTTAGTCTCCCCTCTTATATCAAGTGAATCAAGATGTGGCAATCTTGAGTTTCTTTCTCACTCCCCCTCCTCTCTTTCCAGGATAACCTGGTATTCAGGTAATGGTTGTTGAATACCTAATTCAAGGTCATCTCCATTTACAGTAGGTGATAACCATCACCTTGAATTACAGTCAGAAGCCAGTTTGTATCCAATGCAACTCGCACAGCAGGGATATTATATAGGCATGATGGGGCTTGTCCATCTCTGGTTGTGCTGCTCTGGTTATTCAGCAATAGCTTCCAAGTGACCTTCAAGGGCAAATCCATTACACTAGAAGACTGTGTAATAGCCCATCCACAAGATAATTAGGGTATGAAAAACATTACTATATTGTTCAGGTTTTTTGTACATTTTTACGTCTAAAGATTTGAACATGGTTTTCTTGTAAGCAAGTAATGCTTGTTTTAAGCTTTGTGATGCAAATAGTGATACACATCTTGCAGCAAAATGTTTCTCATTGTGCCAAAGTTGGTTAAAACTATATAATTTGGTGTGTGTGTGTGTGTGTGTGTGTGTGTGTGTGTGGGGATGGATGGATGGATAGATAGATAGATAGATAGATAGATAGATAGATAGATAGATAGATAGATAGATAGATAAAAATTGGGCATTTTACAGCCATAAGATATTCCGATCTGTTCCACTTGTTCTAAGAGCTAGGTTACTTGACGGAATACATGTGGCTACATTGGTTTCTCTTTACTGCTCTGCTTCAAACTGAAGGAACAGTTACAGATTATATAAATAACTAGAAGGGAGAAGACATAAATAATGTATAGTATTTCTTCTTCTCATAACATGGATGAGCCCTTTCCAGACAAATAGTCAATAACATTTAAAAAAATGTTACTATAAAAAGTATTCCTGGATGTTGTCGCCGCATGGATCTTGCTGTCTTGGTGAATAATGTAAATTTCTACTGCTCTGTACTATTCTATTTATATGATTTTTGCTTTTTATAAAATTGAGTATTGTTTTCCACTCTGTAGCTGGGTGAATTCTTTTATATCTTGCAAAGTCATAGTTCTTTATTTCTTAATAACATTTATTATTATCATTTGTTTTTGTAGACTATGCTGACTGCAATATCAATGAGTGCGATAGCAACAAATGGTGTAGTTCCAGGTAATAACAAAATATAATTGTGTCTTAAGATATTTCATGCACTTTATAAACAGTCCTCCATTACTGGTGATATATTGATCACTATGATTAAATGAGACTTATGGAAGGTAAGGAGGAAGAAATTGCTTAACATATAATGTAAGATAATAATGCTTTCATGCAGAAAATTGTGTTTGTGAGAAAACACAAAAAATGAAAACTTGGCTTGATTTATTCCTGTTCTTGTCTGTTTTGCTAAGACATAATGAATGGAACAAACAAGACAGGCCATGCAAAGGACAAGATAATGCCAAGTTTCCTTTGATATCTACAGTGCAGCTTCTGTCAGATAAGTTGGGTGGGTACAGTGATATATGAGGCTTCCCCTTTGTTCTTCGAATAACAACAGAAAAAAGCCAAAACTAACATGAGAGATATCCTACCTATTTATCAGATAGCAGCAGATAACCAATCAGGCCTTTGAGAGAATAGGTGAATTCTAGCGCCAAAATAATAAAGGCCAGGCATTTACTTCAGAGTCTGTTTTATTTCAGAAGAAAACTACTTGGTTTTGAATAGAATATACTCTGAGAAGTAAAATTGTTCTGTCTTCTATAGGGGAGGGGATGGAATATTGCATTAAAAGGATCTTTAATAATCTGGGTTTATAATGTACATTACCAGTGAACTTAATCCCTGACTATTACTTATCTGTTTATTTTTAAAAATAATCTCTGTATCCCTTTTCTCTATAAAAAGTTTATAATAACCATTTAATCATTCTAGTGTAAGATAATGTAAAAGAAGTTTAAATACAAATATTTGAAATAGAATTGTTAACAAGGATTAATGGTTTAGGAAGGGAGTCAGAATAAGATGGAATTTAAAATATCTAAAACATTGGAGCCTCAGTACTACAAAAGGAAGTCACTGCATAGCCCGCTTTACAATACATATTGTTCCGCAATATGGAACATAAAAGAGCAGGACCTTCCCACAAAAATTCTAACTATCTGTGGAGCTGATGTCACCAGTGGATGTTCTTTAAGGAAACCCACCTCTAGGTGGTATAAAACTGTATACTAGTATCAAAATTTTGATTGTAGCTTGATACCAAATAGGTAGTTGGTGCAGATATTTTAGTGCAGCTGTAGTGGCCATGTAAAAAGCAGCCCAATCTGATACTTTACCACTTCAGTGCCTTAGTTGTAGATTTCAAACCAGTTTCAAGGGTGGCCTCAATAGACCACATTATTGTAATTTTTGAAGTCACCTCTGTATGGTAGTCTTTATGACTATCTTTGTTCAGGAGAGGGTACCAGCCTATTAATAGCAGGCACTTCTGACCATAAAAATTATCTCCAGCGATGATGAGCACTACCAGAATGCAAACCTGTTCATTTAGAGGGAGTCAAACATCCCCCAGAGCAGATTTGTGTTTACTTTTTAGAGTAGGGATATTCTTCTATCAGGTACCCTTAATGTACACTGCTGTATTCTTACCAGGAATCAGCTTAGTTTCTTGACCACCATATTCAAGCATTAGTTTAGATTAGACATTGTATTTCTTGATTGCAGTATTACAGAAAAATTGAACTGGTTTTCATCCCAGTGTGGTGACCTTTTTCCAAATCTAATGACATCTGTAAACATGCAATGAAAGAAATTAATTATATTGTGTTTTTCTGTGAATTCGTAAAAACATATTAATGCCATGAGCATTCACCTTAACATGAAGTACAGTTAGTCTTTCCTTACTTGTTTACCATTGCTCCCAGCCCCAGTTACCCCCACTGCCCTGTACTCCCCAGGATCTGCCACTTACTGCTCACCTTCAGAATTTTTTCTCCTGCTCTTGACACACCCAAGTAGCCTCTCCTGGGCCTCTCCTCTTCTTACCGAGGCCACGTTGCTGGATATGCCTGTCAGCAGCTGGAGAAAAACAATGAAGGTAAGTGGGGTGCAACAGATCTTGAGGAGCACCGGGCAGTCGGGGCTTTTTGGAATGGTGCTAATATGGTGGGGTGTTTGAGAGATGGTATTTCTCAGTAGTAGTGGTGTGACTGCTAAAGGCCCCAGGCCTCTCTTTAAACTCCTGCCCTGCCACCAATGAGATTAGAGGTGAGTTAAGTGGGTGTGGGGACTTCCATTTCCTCTGCAATCATAAGTGCTGCTGGGCCAGATGAGTGACTCAGGCTTCCTGGTCTGAGGCAGCTTTATATGCACTGGTGGGTTGATGGCAACTGAACTTTCCAGGGGCAGCTGCATTTTTGCATACATTTGTTGTGAGTTTTGCCTCATTTTACAACTTGTCTTGCCACATTTATTAAGTGAATCACTGCTGTTCTTTTATTAGTAACACGGTTCTTAAGTGAATCTGGTTTCCCCATTGACTTTGCTTGTCAGAAGGTCACAAAAGGCGATTACGTGACTCCGGGACACTGCAGCCGTCATAAATGTGAGTCGGTTGCCAAGCATCCAAATGTAAATCACATGACCATGGGGATGCTGCAACAGTCGTAAGTGTGAAAATGGTGATAAGCCACTTTTTCCAGTGCCGTTGTAACTTTAAACGGTCACTAAATGAACTGATGTAAATCTTTTCCATGTTCAGTTGTCTATGAATAGTAGCTAGGCCTGATTTTGATTTCCAAAACATCTCCAGAAACAACACCACCTCCCAATAAATGAGATTGCTTTCAGTCTTCTTCAAACTTTCATTAAGTGTTAAGTAATCTACCTTGGTATATAATTGTCATTAGTTACCTCCTTTATGCTTAACATTTCTTTTTAATAAGCAAAGGGCTTTCTAAGTGAGAACTGATCACCGCAGAGGATTATTTTAGTGTATAGAGTCTGAGATTTGCTTTTTAGTTCTATTATAAAGATATTGTGTCTGATACAGTTTATTTTTAAGTGCAAGGTATCATTCTGTTTATTAGACATGAGTGGTATGATTGGGTATGTAATATTTAAAAAGGGGGAAAGAGTCTAAAACAGCTAGGAAGGAAAGGTGGTAAAATGGGACAAAACTCACTGAACATTTCTCTTGCTCATTTCTCTTGCTCAGCAACCAAAATTTTGTGCTCAATAGTGGTCATAAATTGAGGGCTACCTGTAGTAAATATTTTATATTGCTAGAAAGTTAAGTTAGAATTAATTTACATTAATAAGTGTTTTGAGAGACAGTTCAGTGTGGTGATTAAGGCACTAGACTAGAAATCAAGAGTCCTCGTATTCTTGTCCAACCTTACGCATGAAGCCAACTGGATTACCTTGGGAAAATCACACTTTCTCAGCCCTAGAAAGAAGACAATAGCAAATCATTTTTGAAAATCTTGCCAAGAAAATTTCAAGGACTATAATCCAGGCAGCCACCAGGATTCAAAATTGATTTGAGGATGCAAAAATAAATAGTTTTAAAGATAGTAGACTCATGTAAGCCTCCCTCCTTGAAGCATTGGTGTCATATTATCTGTACATGGGGTATGCATGCTCACACGTAGGACAGCCTTTGAAATAGCCACACAAGTCCTCCAAAAAATGCATCTGCTTTACACTTTGAGAGAATACTTCTAATCTGTTTGGTGGAATACCCCTTCAGTATGCATTGCAAGTTGTAGTATTTTCCACCATTGTTAAGCAGTGCTTTCTCGCTAAAATATTTCACTTAGTCTTTCAAATCAGATTGGCTTTCTGGCACGCTTCATCTGATCTAGTGTCCCAATTAGTTAAGCAAGACAAATATGCTTTGAATATGGTTAATGTGTTCTATACCAAGCTAATGTGTGTCTTTTCCATTTTAATTTCACAGCTGGTGGTTCATATTATATGATCTCACGGTCATTAGGGCCAGAATTTGGTGGAGCTGTGGGACTTTGCTTTTACTTGGGCACAACTTTTGCAGGAGCTATGTATATTCTTGGCACAATTGAAATTCTACTGGTAGGCCTTTTATTTAACATTATGTTTTCCTCTTCATGCTATGTATTAAGAATGTAGTTTTCTTATGTAATAAATACCTTACCCCCTTCTCAATGAAGGGGTTGCTAACTGTGGCAGAAACAGTCCTGAAGATTCCAACCTGCCCATGTTAATCAGTATGTGTATGTGTATATTTGCCTAGGCATAAGTGCATGTGCACATATATATGTGCCAGAAGCCACAAGGTCAGAACAAAGAAATCCCTTTATTTTGATTGAATTAATATCAGTTGTAAAATGAGTTACCCCATTTACACAATTAATTGTTCCCCATCTGCATATAGCAACCATTCTTTCTTAATAAATACAAAGACCATGTTCCCCTACTGGTACATAGAAATACTGAATGCACACAATCCATCCCTCCATCCATTAAAAGTAGCAAAGAAGAAATAAAGCAGGATAGAGCTCTTGGTAAGTGAAAAGTGAAAAGTGTAAACTGCATTGGGATATGAAACAAAGACAAAGGAACAAAACTGGGTGGAGATGAGTCAAGGTGGAGAAGTTAAATAAGGAAGAACAAAAGGCAAGGGAGAAGCCCCATTTAGGCAAACCATTGAGCAAGAGCCACTCCCAAGCACTATCTAATCCTCAGCATAATTTGCTCTGGGCAGCATTCTTTCATTTTCATCAATTGCTTCTCTTTTTACATATGTCTCCTCAATTTATAAGAAATTATTTGGGTATAAAATTAATCTTCCTATTTTGTTTATTATATATTGATATAGATTTATAGATACTCATTGAGCATTCTGCTTGTACTGGTCTTTGGTCATAATGAATTGAATTGAACCAGAGGTCAACCAGCTGTGTATTTTTCTTTATTAAATTTATATGCCACCCATCTCACTGTCCAAAGTGACTCTGTTGAAGTAACAAGGTTACCAGTTATCTCCTTTTTATTTTAAAACATACATTTTAGTCTATAATCTTGCTGTTGATTCTTACTGCAGTGATTTTAATTATTTATGTTTTGGAACTTTGTACTAAAACGATATTCAATATTTGTCTTACAGAAATATATTTCTCCTAATGCTGCTATTTTTCATGGAAGTGAGGAGGCCACATTAAACAATATGAGAGTTTATGGGACGTGCATTGTTGCTCTGATGGCGATAGTTGTTTTTGTGGGAGTCAAATATGTCAATAAGCTTGCATTAGTCTTCTTGGCTTGTGTAATCCTTTCAATTATGGCTATTTATGCAGGGGTTATTAAAACTGCATTTCATCCTCCAGACTTTCCGTAAGTGCATGACTACATTTAAATATCAATGATAGTTATAATATTTTAATCTTGTTAAAAGGTAAAATAAAAAATATGTGCAGTAGCAAATAATGCTAGTGATGCTTGCATTAGATCAGGTCAGGCCCTTGAAACATGTCAAAAAGTCATCCTAGATTTTCCAAAATGATTCCACTCAGGTGTATCCATGGATGGGAGAGAACATTGTTGCCATAGAGTTTCAAAGCCTGGTTTCCACATTTTCTGATGTTTTAGACCTTTGGACCACTAATTGAACAGATGTTTATTCAGTAGCCTGCATAATAGCAATTATTTAAATTGTTGTGATCTGAGCTTTCATAAAGATATACAAAGAAATGTGATTGGGGGTTTTAGAACACAGTCATCTTTGTAAAAGGTATTTAAATGAAGCTGTGGTAAAGCCTCACATTTCAGTTTTTTTTTAATTATTTTGAGTTTACCTTGAATCCACATGTACTATACCTTTGTTTTGGATAGATTCTACAGAATAATGCAGAGCACTCATTAGTCATCTTCTGCATTATTATGAATGCACAGAATTTTAAATTGAATAGAGCATAGAATGCACACATTGTTACCTCAATTGGCTAAAGATAAAGTTGTATTTCCATTTGCTTGAATATGAGTATATCTGTGGGATCAGGGACCTTAATTTTTTAAGATCTCAGTTCACATAGAGAAGAATATTTGCTTCTGATTCTGGAAATACATCTGTTCTTCTGATGTCCTTGATACACATCAATAGGGATATTTGGGAAACCTCATTCTGTACCCAGAGTAAAGCCTTTCACATGTTCAGGCAAACACTCAAAGTGGGCCAGTATTTTTTTTGCGGTTGTCAACATTTTAATTTCTATTGCAATTCCTCTAAGCATATGATTGTGCCACCCACGCAGGTAGCTCTCTCAATCTACTTCCTAATCTCTTATGTTCTTCACAGATTATAAATGATCTTCAATCATTTACACATTTCAGTTTGTGGAAGAGTTGTTGCCTTACTACCTGATACTTCAGGTAGTATCTAAATAATAACCCAAATAATAGACAATTACATTGGGAAGAGGTCAAAGTATCTCTGCATGCCCACTCATACAGACAACCAGAAGAAGCTTTTAAAGCAGCCACATGGGCCTTACACTACATTAGCCTTGTACACAATGCTGTTGTTTTAGTGATTCCAAAGAGGTATACCATACTTGCATCCAAATTTTAAGAAGGACCTCTTTTGAAACTTTTGTTCAACCCAAGTAAAGAGATGTGAACACTTGTATGTGTGCACATTCAAATCAGTGTTGGCTCCTATCTGGACTATTCCCTGCAGTTTTCTTGACAGGATTTTCTGAAGTGGTTTGCCATTGCCTGTTCCCTAGGGCTGAGAGAGAGGGGGAATGCCTGAAATCTTCCTAGCAGGCTTTCTGCCTAAATTGGGATTAAAATTTACAGGCTTCAGGTTTCTTGCCTTGTGCCTTACATTACACCAAATTGATTCTCTATAAATACTTATATATCCTTTTCAGTACAGCCATTTAAAATAAAACAGCAACAATTCCAGAAGTTACTTCATTCCTAACCCTTCTTTCTCCTTCCCTTCGTTTCTTTTTTTAAAAAAATTCCCATAGCACTCTTTTCAAAATATTTTGATGCCACATGACATTATTAAAAAGTAATTTAAGTTTATTGTAGACTATTTCCTTTATGATCAGAGCTTTTAACATAAGCTAGAAGTAGGATATAGATGTCAACAGTTTAAGATTTATTGTCTTTAATTTGTCTTTTTAATAATAAAAAGTGCCTTTAAAATTTGTTCAATTATATTTTCTAGTATATGTCTTCTTGGAAACCGTACCCTAGCAAAAGATAAGGATTTTCCCTGTGCTAAATATATTGAAACAAACAACGTAACAGTAACTACCCAATTGTGGAGATGGTTTTGTGGCAATAATCCCAACTTAAATGCTACTTGTGATGAGTATTTTCAGTTAAATAATGTCACAGAAATCCAAGGTATTCCTGGAATTAAAAGTAGAGTCTTACTTGGTGAGTCTGGAATTCCAGTGGAAATGATTTTGGGAATTAAATTTTTTTTGAACTAGTGATTTTCAACTGATAATTATAATTTTGTCAATATGATTGATACAAATTGTTCCTTAATTTAAGGGAGCCCCAAAATAAATGGCAGCCTTTGTTTAACCCCTTTTCTCTGTCCATTTAACTTTGAATTCCTAAGTTATTTGTTGCATATGTTCAGCTGCTTTATGTTTCTGTTTTGATTTGTTCTAGCTGTATATGATATTACCCCACAGTTTCTGTGGGGTATTGGCTACATTCATCATATCATTTTTATGAAGTAGATATTTTTCCCCAGAAACAAAGAAAGCTTTGTAATTGGTACGTTTGGGACAGAATCAGTACTGAGAATAAGTTTTAAAGCTTTTTGCCTCAGGACTGGTTTATTTATATATTTTTTAAAATTGTTGTGAGTGAACAAAATCTTGTGTTTTTTTCCATGGCAGATAATTTGTGGAGCAGCTATTCAGACAAAGGAACAATTGTGGAAAAACAGGATCTTTCTTCAGTTCCTGTTTTAGATGAAGCAAAAGATGAACAAGTCTATTACATTTATACAGATATCATGACTTATTTCACCATGCTAGTAGGGATTTATTTTCCTTCTGTGACAGGTATTGCTTCATACTCTCTGCCTCCTATAAGAAAATGTAGTTATTATACATTATTTATCTAAAATTTTGTTGAGCTGCATTTCAGGGTACTAACCTCACACAGTGACATATGTAAAAATAAATGGCAGTATAATTGGTGATGGAGTGTAGCAGGCTCAATTCCCAGGAGAGAGGGAGTGCATTCAGAAGAATAAAAGGTAGTTCAATCCAGATATTTTATATGAGAAAAAGAAGGTGAGGACAACCCCTCCCTAATAGTTCTCAGAGTATATGCTTGATGTAAATAGCAGAGTGCTTAGTTTGTCGAGAGTCTGCCTGTAAGTGTGGATCAATAAGGAATTCTGCTTGGAAGAATCGCCACATGTCTTTCTTTCTTTTGTGACCTGACACAATCAATCAGAACTGAAGAAGCCTTTGGGATGAAAAGCAAAACATCTTCAAAGAAAAAAAGAAGTCTAGTTGCCTTTTGGAAAAAAATCACTTTTGGGATAAAGTTTGGAAATTATGACTACTGATACATTTTTATGAATACTTTAAAAGTGCCAAATTGAAGAATACAGTAGATAATCAGAGTTATGATATTATTATTGTACTATTGTATTATTATTGTACATTTCATACCTGATGAGCTAATTGGCAAGGAAAACAACAGAAAGGGATATCAAAGGTGATTTCCAAGAGAAATAGGCTCCACCATGTAATATAGCCTGCTTACTAAACATGTTAAAACAATACTGTACCACAACCAAATAATCCATTTCTCCTGAAACAATTCTAGCAGAACCTTGAATGAATGCTAGCATCGAGGATGAAGCAGAAATTATTCAGTATGTGTTTGGCTTCAAGGAAAGCAGCCCCCCACCCACAGCCACCCCAAATCTATTTTTACTAGGCTGGAAAAAGCAGTAATCAAATACAGCCTTTGTAGGTTTCACCTCTGTATGCCTTCTGTATACATCTTTGAGTAACACAAATACTGGTGGCAGAGAAGAACAGTTTCTTCATTGACGGCAAAAACTCTAGCACACCAGCAAACACATTTGCATGCAACCAAATCTTTTTGACATATTTCAGGTCAATATACTCATTCAGATCCTGGTTAGTTGCTATTTTTTATTTTTATCTCCGTCACTGCCCAAGAATTCAGTATAGCACATAGGGACTTTCACCAAAACTCTGTCTCTGAGGGAGACAGATAAGATAAAATAAGTTTTAAGATAAATAAGATAAATAAGTTTTTGAAATTGGGAATCACAATAAATTCTATTGCATTACTTTCCACTTCTCCCCATTTTTTTCTTATCTTTTGTAAGAAATTTATTACTTTAAAGAGTGTATGGCTTGTTTATAATAGCCTTCCCCTGTAATAGTTTACAATCTACAACATATACACACCATTTCTCTCAAACAAGTGGAGTTTGCAACATGTGTAACTTTGTCTCTTGGTTGTGTTTTGCTCCAAAAGATAAGATTTTTAGTAGCAAAATGTTTCCTTTTTTTGCAAAATAATACCTAAAACAAAATAGTGCAATTAAAAAGGAAGAATTTTCCCTCAATATTTGCTCCCCCAATTAAAAAAGATTTATCTTTTTAGCTGCATTTTCTCCTTGCTGCATATTGTCACATGCTCTGTTGCTTGAAATACTGATTTTCCCAAATGCAAATCTAGATACAGAAGAGTTCCCTACCCTGTCCTTGGAGATTGATGTCTCTAGAATTTAAACCTCAGCCAAGCCAGTATTAATTTCTTTTATCATCCAGCTTAGAAGTTCCTGCTGAAAAGTCCCTAATAATGCTTAAATCCCTCTAAGGGGACAGAATTATTTTGCCCTAGTCTTAAGTAAACTATCTTTATATATAGACAAAATGTTCCACTCTCTTTCACCAAGTTGGAGAGTGTGTGTTCGGGGTGGTATTCTATCCCTATTAAGAATAATAAATACTGTACTTGTATTTAAGAAAACATCAGCCACACATCCAAAAAGACCTTTCGTATTTCTTGAGTACTTTTAATCCTCTGCATCAACAATTTTAAACTATCTTTTGGTTAACCTTCCTAACTTTTTAAAAAAACTTTTTGCTAAGATCTCTTGGAATTTTACAGAAGATTCTGAGGAATAGACTTTATCTCTATATTATGTTCAAGCTATTTTGTTCAAGTAGTTTTCACTTAGGGGTACTCATTCCGTGTCACCTGCACTGCTTAAACAGTACAGAACAAGAATGTGATAGCATTATTAATAACTGCTTTATAATTAATAATATTATTAATAATAATATTATTAATAACTTCATGGAGTAGGTTTGTTCCATATCTCGTAATTTCATATAGGCAAAACATGTTCTAGAAATAGGCATACATGTTGGATTACTGAAAAAATTCTGCTTGTTTTAAATTCACCTGAGGTAATTCCTGAAAAAACTTTGCTCCTCAGCACATAGAATAATCTGTTTGTTCTGTGTTCACTAATGTCTCCAAGTTATTTTCCACTGTTCATATGACTTCAGTTTTGGTGTCCTTGATTTGAAATATAACCTAATTTTTTTTAAAAAACATTAAATTTAGTAATGACATAGAAAATATCTGATCACGCTTTATGCCAATGTAAATATTAAAACGGAAATTTGTCAGTGGCTCTCACTGTGCCTTAAAATGTGTTCCTTTGATTTCTCTGAGTAATGAAAGAGGGTATCTGAATGTCTTCCCTCATGTAAAAGATACTGTTGAAATGTCATATAGTCATCATGGTTACACATTCTTAACAATAAATTGTCTGAAACGTCTCCATCCAGTAATGGACAATTTGAACTCTTGCACTGTCATCTTATATATCATTGTTCATGGCAAATTAAGGTAGATTTCCGTTTCAGCCTTTGGCATATGTGTGCATATTATTAAGAAACTAATCATGCTTCATGGTAAACAAATACTCCCACTGAAAAAATATTCCTGTTGGCCAGCCATTAAGGTTAATAAGAGGATACATGCTTGTATATTTGGTGGCAATTTTAATATAAGAGATATAAAGAATTTGTAGTCATCTACAGTAGAAGCAAAATTGTTCCTCTCCAGAGGATTTCAGCAAATGGATTATTCTGTTTGGTGGCATTAAGTAGACCCTCATTCTGCTTGTACTTCCAAGCAGTCCAAAGTACGGTACAACTACATTTATAAAACAACATAATTTCATGAGTTCTAAATTGTATTTTGTGAGGCTTTTTGCATCTGCTTTCGGTTAAGATTATGCAATTTCTTTGTTTTATAGTCATCTGCTATAATCAGTAAGCATATAATCCTACAAAATATGAATGTGTATAAATAGAAAATAATTTAGGGGTCAATTAAGTAACTGAATTCTACTTTTACAGAGAGAAAACGCAACACAAGTGGCCTATTCATAAGTAAAACAAACACACTTGGGGGATTTTATTCTTTTTATATTGGGGTTTTTATTGTTTGTAAGCTTCCTAGAGTCACTGAGATTGAGTGGGCGGCCATATAAATCCAATAAATAAATAAATAAACCAACTAACCAATGAGGAAGAATAGAAAACTCATTTTTCTGTCTCAATACTCTTCTACATATTGAAAAATAATTATTTTCCTTCTACTTTCTCAAATACTTTCCCATTTTCTGATAGTCTGTATTTGAAATTAGTTTTAAATCATAATTGGTCATTTTCTAATTTTCCCAATGAATAAATGAATGAATGTGAGTTAAGCTTAGTTTGTTGCTGTTTATATAAAAATTTAACAACTTAGTGCATTCACTTCAGTTCAAATGATGAACTAAATAGACTGTTCTGTTCCTTAATGACATTTTTAATGGATTATTTTGTCCTTGTGTTTAGGTATTATGGCAGGTTCAAATCGATCTGGAGATCTTCGGGATGCTCAAAAATCTATTCCAACTGGAACAATTTTAGCCATCTCAACAACATCATTTATCTGTATCCTTTTTATGCAATTTCAAGAACATCTGTACTTCATTTCTGTATTTAGTACATATACTAGAATATAGTCAGCCATCTGTACTGTATATACTCCAAAGCAAATAACTAATAGTGTATATTTCAACAAATTCTAATTTTTGCAGAATTCTAAATGTTTCATTTAGGTTTTAGATTTTTATTTATATAAAAATTTAAAATTAGAGTTAACCAGACTATGAGCTGAAATCATTTACCTCTCTGTGAATAGGAATGAATAAAGTTATTTGGCATACATACTTTGTCTCATAAGTAAAAATCAATAAAATGTAAGATAATACTGATAAAGGTTACATTAAATAGATACCAGATCTACACTAGAAGGATTTAATGTATATTGTGAGATTATAAGAAAAAATATATTAACACATTACTAATAATACAGTTTTGAAATGTTATGTGGAAAAAGGCTTTTCTTGCAAATTTCATTGTATGTGTGAAAACAATAGAGAGTGAAATACAAATGTGATAATTTCTGTGATAGAATTAATTAGATTTCTCAACACAATTATTGTTTTCTTCAAAATGTTCTATAATCCTGGTGTACACAGAGTATTAAAGAGCACTTCTCCCAATTTTGTTTGCTTTAAAGTTCCTTGAGTCATATTTTATAGATCTTTCCTGTATAATTCTTTTTGGAGCCTGCATAGAAGGCGTGGTTTTGAGAGACAAGTATGTAGAAAGACCTTTTCTCCAGTTCTTTTTAAAATCTATTTAAAATTAAGATATAATATTTTAACTGAATGAATGTGTGGAATGAGAAAGTAAAATAGCAGAAAATTCAAAAGCAGCTTTTATGAAGGGGAAATAGATGTCCTTTCTCAAATGCATTTTTGTTCATCATAAGAAATGTGTGTATGCCCACACCTCTACATTTTCCTGAAAGGAGTTTTTTTTTAATCGAGTTAGCGATTTTGTGTGTATAATTTATTTAGCTCTCCTTGTTTGTTTAATGTTGCATGTGTTCTTTCTCACAAGATTTGGACAAGCAGTTAATGGAAACCTAGTGATTGGTACGTTGGCATGGCCCTCTCCATGGGTTATTGTAATTGGTTCATTCTTTTCCACATGTGGTGCTGGTCTTCAGAGTCTCACTGGTGCCCCCCGGCTACTGCAGGCAATTGCAAGAGATGGCATTGTTCCATTTCTTCAGGTGAATTTCTGTGTTTGTTTATTTATTTATTTATTTTACTGTTTTTACATCTTTGCTGTAAAAAGAATCTATTTGGTGGGTAATTTTTTTCATTTGTTTAACTGTAGTTTTGCTCCACTTGTGCGGATGGTGGTAACTAGATTTATTGAGTAGTTTCTAAGGCAGTCACAGCTGTAAGAGAAAAGGACATTTAAGCCTTATGATGCAAGAGAAGATCTGATATCAGGTTGAGATTACTGGATCACATGATATCAAAAGAGAAGAGCCATAATAGCCTATAGTTGCAAGAAAATCATGGATTTCCATCCCACTTTTCTCCCTCCCCCCCCCATTTAAATCCTACATCAGTCAAGAAGCTTTATGTTTCTGATAAAATTAGCCACAGTTCACAAAAGCTTATATATATATTTATATATCTCTTCATAGTCTACCGCTTCCTTGGGAAGCAGAGCACCCTGTTCAATTTGGCTTTGCTTAATTTCTATATTCTAAAGAATGTCGTATTTCTATTCTCCTATATGAATTGGAATTTCACATGGAACATATTGCGGCTACTGATCGTGTCACTTCTTGTTGTTGAGACGCACAACTGAACTCATTTAGATTAAGTGGGTGGAGAGAAGAGGGGATGGGGCCAGGAACCAGAAGATATATATTACTTACATAGATCACACTAAAGAATTAACTGGTGGTTGTCTGTTCAAAACAGCAATCCTTACAGATCGATTTGACCTCATTTCACCTGCTGTGGCTTACAGAGCAATTCAGCTGGGCTAAATAAAGCAAGGGACAGTACAATAAGTCTGTTGCTGCTGCTTGCTAACTATAACTGCAACAGTTGCTGCTGTCATGTTTTCCTGTTGCAAAGGGTATTCTTTTCATCACATCACCATCAGAATGGCAATGGATGTACATTGTATAGGTCACAATCTATGCTAGCCACAACCACACAGGAGTTGTTATTCCAGACAAGTGAAGAAATGATGATAAAATTAGAAAGGGGGGTGAGATCAAGGCAAACCAAGTATGTGTCGTTCAAATGAGTCATATTATCTGTTTTTATGCTTCTAGGAAAAGACACCAAAGGGAAATTTTCAGGCTCATGATACCGGGATCAAATTTAGCGAAAGTGAATTACTCACTTCCCATTGTAAAATTGCAGTTATCAGATTGATCTATAGGACTGAGCTGTTCTTGTACTTTATTGACTATGTTCAGTAGAGTAGAGGTTATTGTAAGTAGCTATAAACCTAGTTTGACATTTATTATACATTTATTACCCTGTTTTTCCCAAAATAAGACATCCCCTGATAATAAGCCCAATCGGGCTTTTGAGCGCATGGCAATAAGGCCAAGCGCTTATTTCAGGGTTCAAAAAAAATATAAGACAGGGTCTTATTTTCAGGGAAACACGGTAGATTTGAGCCACAAAAATCTGGACTACTTCAGTGAAAATTAGTTTTTAGTATCTCTTTGGGTAATCTAATAAATATCCAGAATTTTGCAGCCCAAATCTTGAAGCCCTAATCTGTTAGGGCCATACACGTATCTCCTTTACACTCTCTGAGCCTAATTTTACTCAGTATTTATAAGTCTGGGAAACCATGTGTTGTTTAATAATGAACTATTGCAAGAATTATCAAAGTATGGGAATGTCAGACCCCCAGAGAGAAGTTGTAGTTGTTTGGAAAACATAGAACCATGTCGACAATGTTCCTGCTTTGAGTGGGAGCACAGCCCCAAATTCCTGCAGTTTGCCCAGACAAGTCCACAGAGGAAGCAGGAAACGAATTCTGTGAAGATTGACAAGCCTGTAAGTCTGACAGTCAACATCATCCACCAACCACAGCACTTTTATTTGGTTATTTATTGGGGAATTGACACAAAATACTTTAGCCTTAGAGATACACAGTATCACCAAGTTTAAAAATACTGGACTACTGAAGAACCCAAAACTGGCTTAAGTTCTCATGATAAGTTAATAGTTTACAACCTCATTGACTTTCATATAGCATACTAACCAAGTCGATCAAATTACTTTATATCTTTAAATCTATTGCATTGATAATTATATTTGAACTGAGTATATTGTATCTTTTCAGTAAACACAGTTATGTTTTTCTAAGGTGTTTGGTCATGGAAAAGCAAATGGAGAACCTACATGGGCTTTGCTCCTCACCGCATTTATTTGTGAGATTGGAATTCTTATTGCTTCTCTGGATAGTGTGGCTCCAATACTTTCCATGTATGTATATCTATGTAGATTTTAACATATTTGTCTTGCAATTTATTTTAAAATCATTTAAAAATTGCAGTCTTATTTTTAGGGAGCACTCTGGCAAAGTTGGGTATCAAGTCATAAGGAGTATTGGAGACAATATCCAAAAGACAAAATTAATAGAACAACTTTAAAAGGAATAGAATTGCTTTAATAAAACCCAAAAGCTAAATCTGAAGAATACTAGCCTAAATAAAATATTTTAAGGAGCCATTCTTACATACTGAAATAACAGATGCAAGAGATACTGTGATATTTAGTCACTTCAAAAAGATAGATAATAATTTTATATTAAAAAACAATATCAGACAGTAACAATTGAGTAGGCAGATTGGAGAAAAGAGAAAATGAAAGACAGATTAAGAATTTCTCCTGCAAATTTAACACCATTTCTTACCTGCATTTGTAACAATATATACACTGGTAATGATTTGAGAGTACTGCTCTGAGAAAGTAGTCCCAGACCAAGTACAAGGTGCAATTAAGAGAAATTGCACCTTGTACTTGGTCTGGGACTACTGACCGAGCACTTACTCATTCAATCAGGCATTTCCCATTTGCAGCTGATAAAATGACATAGAGCCAAAGTTGTTGGGAGAAGTGCTTATATGAAAGAAAGATACGTGTTTAATGCTAGGTCTGTGCTTACAAATCTGGTCACTTTTTGCCCTTTGAATCTGGATGGTAGGCCTGTATTACCAAGCACTCTTATTGCGTACATTTTCAGTCTTTTTGCATAGTGTGAGGTTGCAGCATGCTTGTAACCCCACAATAGGGAGACCATACCAAGAAATGTAGGTTTACAGTGACCGTGGAGAAGGAGAAAATCCCTTCTTTAAATGTGACATGTCAAGGTTGTGTGTGTCTGTTTAGACTTTCCCCACAGAATTAGATTTAGGAAAAAGTTTCCTGTCTCTTTTACTGACAAACATGTTAAAAATCTGATGGAGAAATAACACTGTTATTTGTTTCTCCACTACCAGCCTTATACTTTCTTTCGCTAGTGAGTATCAAACTCATAAAACACAAAATTGGGATAGGCATTATAGTATATTATGGAACAATGGTCTTTTTATTTAATGTTGTGAAGTGTAATATAGAATCACACTCTGGCAAGTCTTGTTTCTTTTTTAATACCTCAAACTTCAGTTTTTGTGTTAGTCTGAAAGGAACCCTTTGCTTTTTTGAAACTGCAGAAAGGCGACAAATCACATGCCTCATCACTTAATTACAAAAATTGTCTGGACTGGCTTATTATACTTCAGAAATCTTTTAAGATTGCAATTTCCATCTGTAACCTTGTCTTCTTCTTTTTCTTTCACTGGGCTATCTCTGTTCCCATGTCTTGAGTGAATAGTGCCATTCATTTAAATTATCAACATGGTTTTTTTCCCTAGGTTTTTCCTTATGTGCTATCTGTTTGTGAACTTGGCATGTGCACTTCAGACTCTTCTCCGAACACCAAACTGGAGACCTCGTTTCAAATATTATCACTGGTACACCATGTTCTTTACCAATTTAATTCTGGAAGCATTTGGTTTATAAATTTATTGTTTTTTAAGATAACTTACATTTTTAGTTATAAAATATTTTTGTTTATTTGCTTATTTATTTCAGCATTCCATAATATAATTTTGTATAATAAATAAAGGGAAGAGAGTTATTTCCCATTATTTCCATAGGAGAGCAAGGAAATAGATAACAAGAACAAAGTATTATTTTTGACTGAACAGAATACAGGAATTGGAAGTATATCTCACTGCACAGGCTTACATATACAATTTCACTTATAAATGCTCCTAAAAAATATGTATTTATATTTTTTTTATTTATAGACTTCTAATGCAATATTCTAGTAAATGGATAATCTAGTAGTGGGTTGCACTGGAAATTTAGTACAAAGCATTTATGTATGAATTTATATAACTGGTCTTATAAAACCACAGTGAATGAAACAAGCTTTGACTGATATGGTATAATTGCAATCCTTGTAAATTATATTAAAACAAATGGTACAGATTAGCATCACCCCTAATTTATAACAACAATAATAATATATAGAAAAATATAGTACTGGAAATCTTTATCCATTCAATAGTAACCAAGCAAAAGGCAGCTTCTTTTCCTAGAGGAAACACATACTATTATGCACCCAAGAACTGATGAATTAGTCAGGATTTAATGGATTTTTTGAGTAGAAGGGAGGCCTCCACTTAGACATTTGGGGGAATGCTATTCCTTAAAACAGGAACAGCATTTGAAAAGGCCCACTTGCATAATTCCCAAAAATGACAGTGAAACAAGTGACATAGAGTGAGCCACCCTGCTATCTAAGTGGGCAGATACTATAGAGAGAAGTGCACATATCCTAAACCATGCAAGGCACAGGAGGTGACAATCAAATTAAAACATATAATAAATCAGCTAATGCTGTAGTTTTGTTTGTACTATGAAAAAAATACTGTAGATTAGAAAGAATCAGTATCTGATAGAACATGCATATATTTCCAAAAGAAAATTGGTTTATGGGTACATCTTTGGAATAATTTTAAATCTTTACAGTTTTCTATTTGAAGAGATATACATTTAGCATTATAATTTGTGGACACCAGTTCATTTTATAACACCAAAACCATGTCACTTAGGATTGTTTTATATTACCTTGAGTTCCTTGATAAAAGCCAGGCATAGCAATATGATTAATTATTGTATTTGCATTATTCTGTTAAGCATGTATATTGAATGATGTTAGTTTAGAAACTCTGTCATTGTGTTAGATTAAGTAGAACATATACATAAATATGACCAACTAAGAACATGTTTCCTTTCAGGACTCTTTCATTCTTAGGAATGAGTTTGTGTCTTGCTTTGATGTTCATTTGCTCTTGGTACTATGCCTTGGTTGCCATGCTAATTGCAGGATGTATTTATAAATACATAGAATACAGAGGGTAAGCATACACATTTATTTATTGTTTGATTAAAAACATTTATACACTTGGAGGAAAGTAATTTTTATGACATGAATGCAAAACATTTAATTAAAAGTGTTATTTACAGTATATATAATTTAGTATTCAATTTTGTTGCAATGTTCTTTTAAAAAGACACTAATTATTTAATATGTTTATTCCATGTGCATTTTTCAGCTAATTTGTACTTTTAAGAAAAAAACTAATGCTGAATATTATATTACTTGGAATATGTAAAAAATGGAATATATATAGTAAGGAATAAGCAAGTTTAATGCTCATTGGATGCTTTAAAATATAAATCATGTATTCCTTGCCTATGTTGCCTGTGCTTTTGCAGTTTGTAATCCAGCATATCTAGTGAAGATAAGGATGTTGCCCTGATCGGTAGAAAAATTTTAAATAATTAAAAATATGGGAATTAGTTGTTTAATGATTGCGGAAAAAGCTAGTTATTCAAATATTTCCACTTTGGGGGGAAAATGATGGAATGGATTTATTCAAGTTTCAGTACATTCAAAAGCAAAGATGAGATCCAACCAAGATTTGTGAAATGAATGTGCAATTGTGATTTATACTATGACCATTTATTTCAGTGAAATATCAACGTTGAATTTTATATGTAAAATATAGATATAGATGACAAATATTAGTGATATTTATACTTCAAAGAACCTGATCATCCATTCTGGTTACTCTGTAATCCACTAAATAAATAATATTTCTTTTGGAAGAGATTTAAATATGGTGAAACAGACTGCAGATATTAAATGCATTATATTATATGCATTTCTATCAGTCAGTAAATTCTAATTACACATCTGTTAAAAAGTTGTTACAGTTTCATGAACTTTCATTCACGTGAATTCACATTTGTTTATGTCTATAATCGCCATTGATAGCACTCAAGGAAATTTGTCTAAAATAAAGCATAATGTATAAACTTGTGCCCCTGAACCCCCTTTACATTGTCTATTATATCAAAACAAAATAGAACTATCACAAACATGTCATGTTTGTGAACCTCTGTTACTTCTCATTTTAAGAGCTGAAAAAGAATGGGGAGATGGAATCCGAGGTTTGTCCTTAAATGCTGCTCGTTATGCTTTACTTCGAGTTGACCATGGTCACCCTCATACCAAAAATTGGAGGTAAGAATGCATTTAATATTTAACACATCAAATCCTATTTTCAGTTATCTGGGAGTAAACATAATAGGGAGAGCCACCTGTAAATTGTAGTGCAAATATATTGAAACTAAAGCGTATAATAATATGAAACGGTAATTTATTGTGTTGGAAAATTATGATCTTGAAAAGGCATCCTCTACAATTTATTTTTATATTATATACTTCAGACCTCAAGTCTTAGTACTACTGAATTTGGATTCAGAACAGTTAGTAAAACATCCTCGGCTGCTTTCTTTCACCTGTCAATTGAAAGCTGGAAAAGGATTGACCATTGTGGGATCTGTACTCCCAGGAACATATCTTGATAAATACGCAGAAGCTGAAAGAGCTGAAGAGGTATGTATATATATATGAACAGCAAGAAAATAAGGATAGTAAGACTTAATATTCATGTTTGCTTTCTAGTATCACAAAACCGATAGTGGAAATTTCTGCTTTTTATGTTAATTGCCTAGCAAAAACCTTTACAATATTCAAAGAATCGAGACTATTTTGTAATTTATAAAAACACTTATTTGATAACAGAAGTTTCTCTAGTAATTGCTACATGAAAGATTGAGAGTTAGTGCAGATAAGATATTCATAAGAAATTTCTTCTTTAAACTTTTCTCATCTTTATTTTTCTTCCTCTTCCAATGAGTCTCCCCCTTTTTATAGCATTTATATTTATAAAATACATTTATACTTGAGATTGCCCATAATAATACCAAGCATAAGAATCCTGACTATAACTCTATAGTCAACATCTGAAGGTGATTAAAAGCCAGTCAAGAACTGCATGTAACTGCAATATAATATTAATACATTTGGTGCTGAGGTAAAAGGTAGAAGTTTATTTGTTGGTTTACTTACTTAATAATTGATGTATATAGCCACCCATCTCAGTCACAACAATAACATCAATAAGTAACCATAACTTACATTGTGAAAGAAAATATATGTATATCAAATTTACAAATTGACTAATTATATTTTCTTCATTGGATATTCACTTTTAGTGGAAAACTGAACACTAAATCTTTTGTAAAGTAGATGGCAGCACTTGGAGAAGGATATTTATAACAGGGATACTTCTTTCATGTGCTCTATTTTTGATTTTAATAATAAAGTGTATTGATTGATTAATCTTATCACTATATGGGGAAACATTGTCTCTTAACCAGGTAGTAGGAATTCCAATTGTACAAAAAAAAAAAAAAAACCCAATAAACAAAAGGTTGCTGTTCTGTGAATGGCATCAAGCTCAGGTTGGTCACTCACTATATACTAAGAGGAGAGATTTGTTGTAAGTCTGGTTTTTAATTTTTCTACAGTTGTTAATTCTTAACAACCACATAGATAATTTTTGGCAGGGTGTTCTGTTTCCAATCTTGGGCTTCAGAACATCCAGTATTAACTTGTAATCGAGACCATCCATCTTGCTGTTGATAAAGGAAGATAGACATTACAGCTAGAAGTTATCGGTACAGTCCAAGTTATTGGAATAGGGAACATGATATTCACAAAAACAAGAGATAGTGATTTATAACAGATCCTGACCTAACTAACAAATATAGTAGAAGATTCTTTGTGCTTCACTTATGTATTCTGCAAAAAGAAAAATAGTCTATTAATACATTTTGTTTACAATTTTTTCAGTTAGAATATATTCAGAATTCAATGCATGATACCCCAGGCTATCAAATTTCTTGCACAAAATATTTTAATGTATAAAAGAGAGCATAAAATGTATTGTTATTAATATCTATATTTAGAAAGTTTGAATAGGGCTTTTTCACAAGAACAGGGTTTGAATTGTTTGCAGTACAGAATTAGAATAAATTTGAGATTATTTGAAGCAAAGTGCTTAGAGAAATGTACTTTAATCACAGTTTGTATGAAGTCAGCATTGACTTAATTGTATAATCCTCTAAATATTTAACAAGATAGTGACAGAAGTCTCTTTGGAATACTTTCAGGAAAAGAGAATGGTTCAGCAGTTTGTAAATGATTGCTGATATAAATTTTTTATCCCACTGTTTGATTATTTTAAAAGCAATATAGCAGTTCAGTGCTATTTCCTAAAATTAGATGGTATTTTGAAATTGTGCTTTGCTTTTCAAAATAAAGTAAAAGAGATTGTCTACATGGAAGAATGTACTTCACTTGAGAAAAGAATAAGTATGAGGAACATTTCAGGAATAATTACTGAACCCTGGCTAAGACTAAGTAACTTAATTACATATAACCAATATAAGTTATTTTGCATACATAATTATGGAATCAATAAGACATTTAGAATAAATTTTAAACAAGGAGAAGCTATAGTCCATGCCAATTTCCCTAATATTAAAATCTTATGTTATTATATTAATTTATATTTAGTTCTGGAAACCCAAAAGGAGATTGCACAAGTAGAATTAATTACACCTAGTCGTCTTCCGCTTTCTTACTCATGAAAATTGCTTTATTTGCATCCTGTTTAAGAAGTAAATCCAATTTCCAGGTAACAAAGGTGATAATTGGTCCATCAGTAATTCATTTCCTAATTTTTAGATCTTTAAATGTTTTCATTTAGTCTGTGACTTCTTTCCTTTTGATTTAGCCAGATCACTTGTTCATTTAAAGTATCATTTTTTTTTCCAGGGATACCGTAGTTTCATAATTAGACTGGCATTCACAAGAGCTTACTTGAGAAACTTATTAATCCTTTAAATGCATTAAGAATCTTCATAATTTTTTTATTGTGTAAATTGCCTTTTACCCTAATTTCTATTTTTCCCCCCTAAAGAATATTCGATCTTTAATGGGAACAGAAAAAACCAAAGGATTTTGTCAAATCATAGTGTCCCCCAGTGTTAGAGATGGAATCTCTCATTTGATTCAGTCTGCTGGTCTTGGGGGGATGAAACATAATACTGTTTTGATGGCATGGCCTCAATCCTGGAAGCAGACGGATAATAGATTTTCTTGGAAAAACTTTGTTGGTATGTGTTTTTTGTAAATCAATATGAGTAGATTGAGAATTTATATTTATTGAATTGACTGTTATGTTGAAAGTTTCAAAGAGAATTGTATCTTGATAACATATTTTTGATAACAGAGAATTGATGGCTTGATAACAGAGTTAATTGAATTGAACTTCACAGACAGTAATTAATGGTTGGGATATAATCCACTTGAACGTATACAAATTTATGTATCCATCTGCGTTTGCTCTGTACCATTTAAAGAAGCATTCAAGAATGAGACTTCCATAATCTAGTCTCTGTGATTCATATACAGGGCGAAATTCTTGGTAAATCTTACCACATACCCTTCCATACAGTTGAAGCTCTGGGGCAATTATAAGATATTTGCTCATTCTTTTGAGGGTTATCTGATTCATCAGAGTGACTATCAGTGCCATTTCAGTGAGTGCGAATGTTAAACTTCTTTTTACGCCAACAGATGCAAACGTCATAGTGATAAGAACTATTTTGCTCATCTCTAGAAGTGTTCCTTACAAGCATGTTACCTTAGCATAATTACATCTGGTTTCAAATCTCTCCAAATTGGAATTTCTCCATCAAGCTCCAACTTTCCAATGTATCTACAAGCTGTAAATTGATGCTTAGCTACAGGAAAACCTTACTGAAGGGGCAATTTCTCTGATGCAGCTTGTCACCACATGCTAATTTCTGAGTGAGAGGCACATCTTTAATACATCCATGGATCTTGGTCTCTGTCAGAAGTATCTTAGTACCCCGTCAATGAAATGATTAGCATTGTCAGCCTTCCGGGATCTATTTAGGTGTTAAACAGCTCAAATTATATCAGGTGATGCCAAGAAAGTGTTACTAAATCCACTCCACTTTTAAACCTCACATTTTCCATTAGGCAGTGATCTGTATGATTTACATGATTGAAATCTACATACTGAATACAACCATGATCGGTTGATCAAGTAACACTAAAGCAATCTAGTTTCCCTGCTGCACACTCAGCTGATAGCAGAGGCAGAACTATTAGAAGTTTTTATTCTCATGGAATGAATCTTTTCTGGTACCTTCTTCAGACTGGTCCTCTGCTATCAGGGTCCTTGCAAAAATCTCCAAAGAATCAGCCAGTTGCATTCTCATTGTCATGTAATAGGCTCAGCAGTGAAGAGTGCAGCTAGCTTGCTGTGAGAATATCTTTACGTCCTGAGATAACCTGCTACTAATTACTGTTCTATTATCTTTCCCCTTACAGCTTGAAGAATTTGACCATAACTTCCCTTCAGATTCACGTAGATAGGTCCTCCTAGCTTCTTGGAAGCCTTGCATAAGAACTTGTTATGCAGCTAAGTACAGATCCTTTGCAGATTATGCAAGAAAGGAATAAATTCAGTTCCCTTCAGTATCTTTCCTTTTTGGTTTTCCTTTGTTTCTGAAGCAGTGTGGCTTGGTTTTCACTTCCATAAACATGCTTCTTTCTTTTGCCCTCTGGTGGATACTATTTAACTCTTTTCTAATGCATTTTAAAGAGTTTTAGGAAATATTTGATTGTGTTTATCACTAATATCCCTATCAGTTTCTGTCTGGGATCTTTCCATGGTTCTAATGTTAAAGCCATTTCAACAGCGGGTGACTGGTCCAAATCATCTTTTTTCATGGAAAATTGTATTCTTAGTAGCAGTGAATTTGACTTTCTGAGAAATGTATTTCATAGGTTGAGATTCATCCTTATTCTTCATAAAATAAAATAATCCCTTTCACAGATCTCCAAATAACATTTTTCATAGATTCCCTTGGTGTTCCAAGAGTTGCTTTCTGTGTCATAAAGTTACATCATTACAAAATGACTGGCATTTGTTTTGGGCTTTTCAAGAACCCTCTCCGGGATTGAGGTTTTCTTCTCAAAAATTTTTCATGTAGAAAGTTGCAGAAATCAAACTTTGTTTTGATCTATCTAAATGACAGTATCTCAGGTCTTTGACCACTTTAAAACCACATATGTCATGACATATCAGAATATGCAGGCTGTTACATCCCGCTTTTATTCTTCATTATGGACATCCATTCATGAAGACTTGAAGACCTGTGCTTTGTTCAGTCACTTATGAGCACCAGATTCTCTACCGGATAACAAGCTATGTACATTATATGTATATAAAAATGTTTATTCACACAATCCATTGTCTAATTCTGTTCAGCATTGAGTAATTTCAGCATTCCTCTCAGATTACCAAGGATTTAGTGGAAACTGCATCTGCTTATGTATGCTGCATACAGGTGTGGTTTCTAACAAAAAATTCCCTAAATTATAGAACATTGCAAATAGGCTCTGGTGTATTTATCTAACCTTTGTGTGTGAATTGGTAAATGACTACTTTGAGAAGTGGACTTGCAGCTAAATAATACACTTTCATTCTGCTGCATATGTTGATTCTTGTTAAGATCCTCAAATACTACTTATCCAACTCTAAAATACTGATTACCATTTGTGTTTCAGACACTGTACGAGAAACAACAGCTGCACAGCAAGCTCTACTAGTTGCTAAAAACATAGACTTGTTTCCAATGAATCAGGAACGTTTTAGTGAGGGCAACATAGATATATGGTGGATTGTTCATGACGGTGGCATGCTGATGTTGCTTCCTTTCCTCCTGAAACAACATAAGGTGGTAGCATTTATTTTACTTGCAAAGATTGAGATATATTGCTATTGATATATAAAAAGGTAATATTATTTCAGACTCACAGTGATCTAAAAACAACAATACAAAGAACAGGATGAAAGGGAGACAAGAAATCAAACTGTATAGACTATACATAGCCCATAATTGAAGAGAGGCACTCAAGAAAGGTAAATCTCAGAATGAGCTTGATGAGTGATGGTGAGAGCAACAACAAAAATTTTCTTAGGATATGTTCAAGGCAAGAAAGAGTACATACAGCTTTTTACTGAAGACAGCAAAATACTAACATATATCACCACAGATTTATAATAAACAAGTCTTGCCAGGCTAACTTTACCTCAGTTTTTGATTGCGTAATAGATCTTAATCTTAATAGATTGCAGTTAAACATGTACCCTGGCAAAACATTCAACAAAATAACCTCTGACATTCTAATTAGCAACCAAATTAAGAGTAGGCTAGACACATAACAACTAAGTAAATATAGCTGACTTGAAAAAAAGTGTGCTCCTCAGTAGTTCCTCATCTATCTGATGTGAGGTATCGGTTGTGGTTCTGTAAGATGTAAGTCTGGCTTCTCCCTTCTTCACTTTTTTAAATTAATAACTTGAATGAAGAGATGGCTTACGAGATTTACCAAGGACTCAAAGTTTGGAGGGATAACACCGCTGTCAAATTCCCAGCCCACAGGCTGGATGCATTACATGCTGGCCACGCCACACCCAGTTTAGCGAAGGGGGAAAGGGTCCCAATACGTCACATGATGCCGCTGTGACGATTGACACCCGTGCCCTAGAAAATGAAAACTAAATGATTTTCTAGATTGGATTATTCTCTGCTACCAGATAGCATCTAGTGATTGTCCAGATTTTTGCATTGAAATCTGGTAGTCCTAAATGTGACATCACATTTTGGCATTAGCACTATTAGCTTAATTCACATAATAGTCCGCATGAACATTAGGCAACAGATGTACAATATTTAGCTGTTGATGAACTAAATCAAGTTGATGTTCCAGCATTTCTCACTATTAGACACAGTAACTGGGAACCTCTTCAAAATACGTTTCAACAACACTGGAGGCTTTACATTGTGCACTTATCCACCAACATTTCTTTAACAATAATTCGTTGGATAAGTTATTGTGGTCTGATCTACAATATGAACTGCTAAGGCACACCATCTGTGTTCATTTAAGCTGAGCTAAAAATAAACTATATTATGGTGGCATACTGAAAATATTATATGTGCAGTGCTATATCTTTTCATAAATATCAGAAGCTTCTAGTTAAAAACAATCTTCCAGCAATAGCTGTACTAGTCAAATTAATTAGTTAAAATGTATTAATTGCATACAGTGTGCTTTTCTGTTTATAGGTGTGGAGAAAATGTAGAATGCGCATCTTCACTGTAGCTCAGATGGATGACAATAGTATTCAGATGAAAAGTGATCTTCAGATGTTTTTATACCATCTTCGAATTAAAGCTGAAGTAGAAGTTGTTGAAATGGTAAGGTCTATCAGTTACCAATTAATGCATTTATGAAGTGCACAATTTCAACTGAAAAAGTATGATTTCCCCAAATCAGTGGGAGAATTTGGTCATCTTGCAATAAGTCCTTTTGGAGAGAGCAGACAAGTTCAGATTTTAAGTTTTAGTTCCTGTGTGGGAGGAGTCTTTTTGAACTTCAAAGTAGATCCTAAAGAGTATTTAGGATGAATTGGAGCCCCTTTTCTCAGCTAAATCTATCTGAATTTCATTTTCTCAGCATCAGATTTTAGGGAAAGTTTGTAAGAGAATTTGTGCTCCATGCAACTTCTTACCTGTTTCTATCTCCTGCCTCTTCTCCATTTCAGCCAAAACTGTGGTTTATTGAAACAGCTGGCACTTTGTCAATCTAGACTAGGCCCACTGGAATAGAACAGTAAATCCAACCAAACAACTGTGTAATAACAGAATATGTCATAGTGTATATAAAGAATCCAATGTAATGTAATTTTGCACCTGTCCTTTCCAGTTGTCAGTGAGCTTCCCACTCCTTTTCCTTGTCTACTTCAGAGCCAGGAAAGGAATTCTTAATAAAGGAATCTAGCATGCTAAAAGCAGTGAGCGGGTGTGACTAACAAAGCAGGGAACAACCTTGATCCCAAATTTAGATGAGTGCAATATTAAGTCATGGTATGTGCAAAACATGCTATTTGGGTTTCCCAAAGTAAGTGAATTTAAGATTGGAGTGGGGGGGGGGGAACTAAGCTGAGAAAATTTGATAGTTGATACTGATGCTCATCAAAATGGTACACAAACTTACATTTTATACATAAATCATTTGGATTAGGATAGTTTAATCAGTAAAATTCATGAAATGGATTCATTTATAATAAAGGCTTCATTGATTATCATGATGCAATATAGGATGACATATCCTGCATTTTAGTGCCTTTGATGATGACTTAGACTATTTTCATTGAAAAAAAAGTCACATTAAATATAAAATTGGAGCTGTTCAATTTATAATGTTTGGCTTCAAAAGTTGAAAACAGCTTTTTGATCGGCAACTTTTGATGGCTAGAATCCACATATAGTAGTCCCGTAGGTGCATAGAAGCTGCTGTTGGTAGTGAAATGATAGAGTGGGTGGAATCATGATTTTTGGGGAAGGGTGCTGTCTTTGTTTCTGAAGTATTGTTAAATGAATTTCTGGACTTATTTCTGTGTATTTGTTGTCCCATAATTATAGGAATCTGTGTCCCTGACTTAATAATGCATTGGCAAGATGCTACTTTAGGTTCTTTCCTTTTCAAGGCAACTTAAACTATTGCCCTCCAGACTTTTGTATAAACTACAACATCCCACAGCATTGATTGGAGGACTGCAGATTCTCCGTCACTGTTAAAGTCCACATAACCATTCTGCATCAGGCAAATCTATTACAAGACAAGATTTTGTTAAAATGAAAAAATGTACATCATGACATGACCATGCAAGTGATATCCCTTACATACTTGTGGTCACATTCCAAGTACAAAAGGGTCAGAGTTTGCATCACAATGCACAGGATGGCCATGTCTGTATCAGCTTCTTATTTTATAATATAAAAACATTATATAGCAGTGTAACAGGCTTTAAAACGGCATATGTAAATTTGAATCTGATTTGAAGCACTTGCAGGTGGTCCTTGTTTAACAACCACTCATTCTGTGACCATGGCAGCACTCAACAAGTGGTAGTTACAACAGATTTTTGACATTCTGGCCATTCCTGTGGTCATGTGATTGCTATTTGCAAACTTCACTGCTGGCTTCTGACAAGCAAAGCCAATGGAGAAGCCAATAAGTCATTAATAAAAATGCTGGGCCTATTGTTGCTAAGTGGCATGATCTTATGACATCATGCTTTATGGTTGTGTTGCTTAGCTATGGAAATTCTGGTCCAACAGCTGTTATTAACTTAGTGCTAGATGTACAAATTTGGCAAGAGTTACAGTATACTATAAAATGAGAGAATTTTAATATAACTAATACTAGCTTGTTTTTACAGTTTGAAAATGATATTTCAGCTTTTACATACGAGAAAACTCTTGTGATGGAGCAGAGATCTCAGATGCTAAAACAAATGCAGCTCTCAAAGAATGAAAGGGAGAGGGAGGTAATGAATTTTCTTTATTTTGGCAATAGCATTTTAGTTAATGAGAACATTATTTCTGGATATTCCCGCAAACGGAGGTTAATCTTTTATGAATCATAAGTGTGACAAGTCCATCTCAGTTATTTCAGTGAAGAGGAGCAGTTAATCATTCAACATGTAGTTTGGAATAAATAGAAAAGTCTGAGCACAGTTTCTATCAGGGTTTAATTTGATTTCCTTTGAAATAAGTTCATTACTTTTTCAGTAATACTAAATTGTTAATGTTAAGAATCTTAAAACCTTTCATCGATGGCTAAAATAGTATGCTATTGAGAATGTCTTACGGTAGGACTTCATTTTTTCATATTTGTTCTTTTCAGCCTTTTTAAAATAATGTAATGTGATTGTTTCAAATGAATAAACTGATGTTTCGCTTTCATGTTTTAAAACGATCATTCTTTGTTTCTCTTTATTGAGACATTTTACAGATTTCAAAAACCTTTATACTGTTGGGAAGATGGGAGGGGGAACCCACTATTTTAACCTAATTAGTTTTGCACATTTCTGAACATTTTCAGAATCTTGGACTCCAGACTTTATATTCATGTCATGTTAGTGCAGATTTTACATTCAGCTTACATTCAGCTTCTACTAATTTGTTTTTTCTCCAGCAAGCTTGAGATTTTTGTCAGTTATATCACACATTCTCCATTGCAAATTTTAAGTATAAAGGGATCAAGTTAACTAAGCTGGCAATGAAAAAGGAGTGCTTTTTTAAATCTAAGACTGCCATTATTTAATCTATAGTGGGGCAAAAAAGTATTTAGTCAGCCACCAATTGTGCAAGTTCTCCCACTTAAAAAGATGAGAGAGGCCTGTAATTGTCATCATAGGTAGACCTCAACTATGAGAGACAAAATGAGAAAACAAATCCACACAATCACATTGCCTGATTTGGAAAGAATTTATTTGCAAATTATGATGGAAAATAAGTATTTGGTCACCTACAAACAAGCAAGATTTCTGGCTCTCACAGACCTGTAACTTCTTCTTTAAGAGGCTCCTCTGTCCTCCACTCATTACCTGTATTAATGGCACCTGTTTGAACTTGTTATCAGTATAAAAGACACCTGTCCACAACCTCAGTCACACTCCAAACTCCACTTTGGTGAAGACCAAAGAGCTGTCAAAGAACACCAGAAACAAAATTGTAGACCTGCACCAGGCTGGGAAGACTGAATCTGCAATAGGCAAGCAGCTTGGTGTGAAGAAATCAACTGTGGGAGCGATAATTAGAAAATGGAAGACATACAAGACCACTGATAATCTCCCTCGATCTGGGGCTCCACACAAGATCTCACCCCGTGGGGTCAAAATGATCACAAGAACGGTGAGCAAAAATCCCAGAACCACACGGGGAGACCTAGTGAATGACCTGCAGAGAGCTGGGACCAAAGTAACAAAGGCTACCATCAGTAACACACTATGCCACCAGGGACTCAGATCCTACAGTGCCAGACGTGTCCCCCTGCTTAAGCTAGTACATGTCCGGGCCCGTCTGAAGTTTACTAGAGAGCATTTGGATGATCCAGAAGAGGATTGGGAGAATGTCATATGGTCAGATGAAACCAAAGTAGAACTGTTTGGTAAAAACACAACTCGTTGTGTTTAGAGGAGAGAGAATGCTGAGTTGCATCCATGGGGGTGGCAACATCATGCTTTGGGGTTGTTTCTCTGCAAAGAGACCAGGACGACTGATCCGTGTACAGGACAGAATGAATGGGGCCATGTATCGTGAGATTTTGAGTGCAAACCTCCTTCCATCAGCAAGGGCATTGAAGATGAAACGTGGCTGGGTCTTTCAGCATGACAATGATCCCAAACACACCACCCGGGCAATGAAGGAGTGGCTTTGTAAGAAGCATTTCAAGGTCCTGGAGTGGCCTAGCCAGTCTCCAGATCTCAACCCCATAGAAAACCTTTGGAGGGAGTTGAAAGTCCGTGTTGCCCAGCAACAGCCCAAAACATCACTGCTGTAGAGGAGAGCTGCATGGAGGAATGGGCCAACATACCAGCAACAATGTGTGCCAACCTTGTGAAGACTTACAGAAAACGTTTGACATCTGTCATTGCCAACAAAGGATATATAACAAAGTATTGAGATGAACTTTTGATATTGACCAATACCACCATAATTTGCAAATAAATTCTTTCCAAATCAGACAATGTGATTGTGTGGATTTGTTTTCTCATTTTGTCTCTCATAGTTGAGGTCTACCTATGATGACAATTACAGGCCCCTCTCATCTTTTTAAGTGGGAGAACTTGCACAATTGGTGGCTGACTAAATACTTTTTCGCTGTAAGTCCATGTTTTAATTTTGCTTGATTGTGTTTTCTCTCCTCTTTCTTTGCAGAAATACGTTTAAAAATTAAACTGTAAAATTCTGGGTTTTTTAATTATATGGAACATTAATCCTGTTGATCATATGTAATGAGTTTCTTTGCTGTGATGTTTTATATCTTAAACAGATAACACCACTGGTTTAAAATACCTGGAGAATATGTTTTTGGTTTTGGCCTTCCCTTTATGATATCACATTCATCTAACTAATAAACTAAGCGCTAAGATGAAAATAAAATACAAAAAAGGCTTTGAAACCATACCACATCTCTCTTGGTAAAACTCTAGTGTGAGATTATTCATTTTCTTATATTAAACCTTAATTTAAAAAGTTTTCTCTCTCTTTTTCTTTCTTTCTTTTTTTTTTTTTTGAAACCATTCAGTGTTTGGCCATTGCACTGACTGCCTATAGACATAATTGCATTGGATTTTATCCCTTTTTGAGAAATTGGTGTAAATAATGTGTCTGTGAGTAGATGCGATAAAGATTATGTTGGAGAACTGAAGTTTAAATGTGCTGGGTTTATTTCTTTTAATTAAACATTGTGTTTCATTAGCTAATGCAATATCCTTTTTCTATATGCTGATTGTGCCGGGTGGCCTTCCTGTCTCAGATTCAGAGCATCACTGATGAATCTCGTAGCTCAATCAGAAGAAAGAGCCGCTCTAACCCACAGTGTATTGGCCAAGGGGTAGACAGTCTGCTACCTAACGATATTCAGGAAGAAGAGGTAGAAGATACTCACCTAGTTGTTCCCTTCCCATCACAACACTTCTAGTGCCTCTCTAAACCATAACTGTACTAATTATTGCCAGTGCCTGTTTTTCTAATTCTTACTAAATGATTTTAACATTACGTGCAGAGAACTCCCCTTCCACAAATAAAAGTACATTTTTTGTGAAAAATTCAATAGTGATTTTCCATAGTTAACTCTTGAATTAATACCATGACAATCTTAACTTAATGATATTGAAGGACTAAACAAAATAGTTTGTTCTGAATAACAACATCTATTTCGATTTGTTCTGGTAAGTGTTCATTGACTCCATGAGTTTGTGATGATATAAAGGGGAAAATATTTATTTGATGAATCCATTAGCTATTAATCTTTACAACATGAAGTATCCTTATTAATGAAGATCTTTTAGAAAGGAATGTTGCACATAATTGTACGGTACTGCCCAAACCTTATGGAATACTGTATATCCTGCATTGCTTTACCTGGACAATATACAGATCAATTAAAAGAAAGGCTAAACAAGATGAAGTGCCTTATCAGTAGGATATTTGCATTTCTCTTGCTTAAGGATGTTAACTATTGATACGAATGCACACTGGGAATTGCTTCAGATTACTCCATTTTTATTTCAATTTCACCTTGATGTAGAATTTTTTCTGGCCATAGATAAAAGGATAAAAACATAGGCAATTTGCCAGTGTAATGTGTAGAATCCTGTTTAAAGAGGTGGATTGAACATTTAAAACCCAGAAGGTAGGAGGAAAAGCAGGAATTTGCATAGGGATGTTCTATATTTCCCATTAGAATTCACATCACCATCTATTCTATATTTTGTAAAATTACAAATTTTGAAATTAGAAATCTGTCCATAGATCACTGTCCATAGTCTCATCTGAAATCAAATGAATTTAAACATCCATTATTGCCTACAAACTGACATTCCTCATTTCATCTTTTCTTAGTAGTTTAATAAAAGGCATTGGCTATACATTTATTTTTGAATTTTAAATTTCTCATTCAGAAGAAATTTGCTACAGTACAGTACATGAAAAAGTGGCACTTCAAGTGTGGGCAAATCCTTAGTTCATAGCAACATGGAATATTGTTTTTGTAGTTAACCTTTAGTTAGTAAGTTCTGTGTCAATGTTTGCTTAAAAGAATAGCAAAACACATCTCCGAAGTAGGATTTGGTAGATAATCATCTCCTTTCCATGTTTAATGTATTGTGCTTTAAAGCCATTGTTTCATGTGAAAGATTTTCAAATCATGACGTAACTGTCCTCTAACATCTGAGATAATTTATAATTCTTTTTCACCAAAAATGTAAATAATATAATAAAATTGAATGTAATGGCAGTGAAATGACTCATTATTGCACTTAACATAACTGCATAGCACCCGATAGAAGAGAACTGACTCCCTTGCTATTTTTTTAAAAAAAGAAAAACATTGATATACATACCTGTTTTTATTCTTTCATTAATTCATACTCTTGCCTACTAACTTATCTTATAGTCCAGGTTGCAGGCTTTCATGGTATATGCTGCACTTCAGGACACTCTTGGTGATATTTTGAATAGTGCCTCAGGGGTAGCCTATTCAGGTTGGTGTGGCAGAGAGAAAAGAAAGGAATGCTATCATTTTCCTTCCTCTCTCCCTCCCTCCCTTCCTTCCTTCCATCCATCCATCCGATCAACCTCTGCACCTCTGTCTGCTACTGGTTGTGCCTTTGCCACATATCCTTGCTTGTTTGGGATGATCAAAAAGCCTTTTAAATATCTTCAAAAAGATGTTAACCTTTGAAACCTGACATATATTTAACACCCAAATTGTACTAAGAAGAATCCACTCTAATAGAATCCAGCCAGATTTTAAAATATGCATGATGTTATGAAGCAAAGTAGTGCCATCTAGAGGAAAAGCCAGTGATAAAGAAGGATTTGTTGCACTCCTTTACTCACTCAAAAGATAAAATTACAGAAACAGAATAATAAATTAAGAGTTATTTCTGGTCCTAGTTTCTGTGGTGTGGAGAATAATTATTAGCTACCTTCCTCTACCTTCCCTTTACATGAGTCATCTTTTCTTCAGACTGAAAATCCCATATTTCTTCAGCCCATAATTAATTTGGCTGGCAGGCCAGACCTTTTAGCAGGGCAAGGAAGAAAAATAATAATTTGTTTTTGAATCCATTTTTTAAATACATTTTTTCTCAATAATACTGTGTAGAATTTAAATATGAAAATAACTTCTATGAGGTTAGATTATAATCTAATAATTAAACAATTTGTCCTAATGAAAGAAATAAAAAAGATAAAAAAAGGAGGAAAAAAATAAGGGAGCTCTTTCTGTGTGCAGTAAAAACTTATCCTGGATTTTAAATGCATTAGAAAAAAAAGCAAACTTTCAGAAGAAAAGGCTAATAATAAAAACATGTGAGGTCCTAGATTTGTGTAAATACATATATGTAAATATAAATAATTAAAAATATAATTTAAATTTAAGATAAATATTGACTTATAATTGGTGATTTAAGTTTTTTAATAGAATGCAAAAAAAGAAACACTGTTATAAAAAGCTAAAAATATACACATACAAAATGTATATTTAGAGAGACACATTATATGAAATAAATTGAGGCCCTAATTTATTGTAATCATCCTTGGTTAGTCTGTATTAATCAATTCTGCAAACTGCTGAATAGGTAAAACATATGTTTGTGTTTCCAATGCTGAACAGTAAATCTTTTGATTGTAAGTCCATTTTTTTTATTTAGAGGTCAATTCCCATGTGATCGAAATAGAATACTTGGTTATTATTATTGATATTGATATCATTATAGTTGTTGTATCAATAGTGATAAAGTAGTGATAAAATCAATAAGAAATTACTGATTTTTAGATATACACATCAATTTGAATTTTGTGAAAGGCTATATACTATTGATACTATAATATTGACTGTTTATGTCATGTGACTATGATAATGACAGCAACTGTCCCAATTATTTATGTGGTAGATGGGAATAGATATCATTTTTGCAAGATAATAGTATAAACTCTTTGGAAAGCATATATGTATGTAAGTGCAAATTATTATTGTCTTCTCAAAGCTATTTTGCATGGACTTCTCACCTATATTGAAATTCATTATATACGCATATAGTTTGTCAAGCCACAATATTATTGGATCCTCTGCAGCAACATGGAAGAATGAATTTCACACTACTTTTAGAAAAACCCAGATTTAGCATTTTAATTATACATTATTATATGTATAATTACCATTCAATTGGGGAGTCAAGCTATTGAATGGTTATTGCAAGTTAAAAATGCAGTTTTAATTCCCATGCAGTAGATTCTATAAGAACAGACCTCTATCTGTTTTGAATTAGCTGACATGTCAAAAATCTTTACTTTGCTTGCTTATCTTTGGCCAGGCTCAGTTAATCCATGACAGAAACACTGCATCCCATGGAACAGGAATGGTTAAATTGCAGACAACTATTGCTGCCCCAGAAAAAGTACAGATGACCTGGACAAAAGAGAAACTTGTATCTGAAAAGCATAAAAATAAAGAAGCATGTGCGCCAGGCTACAAAGATATCTTCAGTATGAAACCGTAAGTGGTTACTTAAGGAATAGAAGAAGTTATTAAGAATAGATGAGTTCCAGGCTTGTGAATGCTGCTCAATCACATATTTCAATGCTGAAACAGTGGTGGGTTGCTATTGGTTTGCTCCAGATTGGGCGAACCGGTGGCGGCGGGAGGCTCCTCCCACCCGCCCGGATGTCTCTGCGCATGTGGAGAAGCTTCTGCACATGCGCAGAAGTGTCACAATCGCGCCTGCACCCATGAGCAAACCAGTAGGGACCAAAATTGAAACCCAGTACTGTGCTGAAACTGTAAATTGTTCTATTTTCCTTTTTTGTTATACATCCTTCTTTTGACTAATATTCTATACCCGTGATGGCAAACCTATAGCCATTATATCATTTGTGAGTGTTTTTTTCACCTATATATTTATTTTCTTCTGAAAGCAGTGATCTTTCACTTAAATCAGAACATTATTCTGTCTAGTATTTTTCTGGTCTCTCAAACCATTGGAAAATGGTTTCCTTCTCTAATTTTTTGCTTGGACTGTACAGCACCATTTTAGTAAGACCAGTATTTATTCTTGGCCATCCAGGTCCCATCTAAAGGGCATAATCTGTCTATACAGGATTTCTCCAAATGCATAATAGCATCCATCAGGCTTTGCTAAAACTGACCAAACTTCTGATCTGCACTTAAACAATAACTGTCTTTCAGATTATTCCTGACCAAATTGTGCTGGCTAGCCATGCAAGCCTACCCCATTATCTTCAGTCAGCGCTATAAACTGGATCTATGTTCCATAGAAATGCAACTTTTGGAAGAGTTGCTCTTTCTTCATTATCTTGTGATGGCTACTTCTAGAAAACTCTGGACATAGCTCTGCGCAAGCTCATAACTCGTATTGAAGAACTGCAGCTCTAGATAAACAACCAGTTCTTCTGAGACCATTAGCATTTTTTTTCAATTCCTGAATTTCACATTCTTAGTACATGAAGATATGGACACCCATATATTTTCAGATATGTTTAATACAGTGTCTTTATTTATATAATTCTGTATGCTTTTCATATCTTTGCTTACTTTACAAAACAAATGGTATTTAAAATAAAGTAACAATTGTTTGGTGTAATAGCTACGGTAGTGGCCTAGAAAGCAGGAGAGTGCGAGTTCTAGGCCTCCTTTATGCATGAAAGCCAGCTGGGTGACTTTGGCCTAGTCCCTCTCAGCTCATCCTACCTAGCTATATTACTATTTGCATAGTAGTACAAGTAACAAATATCTCTATATCCACCAGATGGTGATGTAAACTAAGTAATAACTGCACAGAAAGGCAGCACCAGTCAAATGAAACTGCCTGCCTAAATAAATAGAAAAAAGCTCAGTGTTTTGATTGTAAATTGAAGGACACAGTGTATGCTAACATAAAATCACATTATAAGTTAACTTCTTATAATACTTCTTCATAAGTATGAATTACTTATTCTATTTATGAATAATAAAAGAGTGATGGAAATTGACTTTCTTGAAGGCGTAGAAGCTCCCACGTCCATAGCAAATTACAACATTGCAACCTCTGTTTACATATGTTTGCATCTGCAAATATAAGTATATTGATCTAGGAAATTAATTGTGTGTGCCTTTGGAAAGATAGTGTTGCTTCCTCTGAGAAAATCAGCAGCTTTTTCATTTGTGTATTTGAAAATGCATAAATATCAGGTAACAACAGAAAAGCAAGCAATTTAATTTTAAAAATTAGTATATCTTCAAACACTTCAAAAATAATATGGTCAGGTAATACTTTCCTGAGGAGGAGAAGATGATTCGTGCTGCCTTGCCCCTACATCCTTCCTTTCTCACCGAGTAGCACATAGTAACTTCTCCTTTCTGAGCACAATATTTATGTTTTTTTCAGGTATATAGGAGATAGTGTGGTACCATTTCAGTTTTTAAGGGGTGGAAATCTCATTATGGAAGGAATATGATTCAGTTTGGGACAGAGAGAAAACAAGTTCTTAGCAGGTTCAGAGAACCATTCTCGACATACAAAATTGGATCCAGATTTAATCATGTTAGATTTAATCATGAGAAAATGACATTGCTTTCAAAGTGTTTGCTTTAAGTAAGATTGAGATAATGCAGAGTCAAACTCGTATGGTTTTTTTAAGACCATTTATGGTAATTTTCCATACCTAAAGCCCACTAAAAATATAGGTATCCATTAGAAGCTGTCATGTAGCCTGAAATTTGGAACTTCTCTCTAGATAACAAAAATAATTCACACCTTGAGAAGATAAGTATACTGTTTTCTGGATCAGTCACAATTGGCTTCTTCAGAAGCTTTCAGAAGTAAAAAGTGTATGAAAATGCCTAGCCATATCTAGGGTTAATGAGAGTGTCAACATTGAACAGGAGTTACTATGATAGTTTGGTTTTTAAATTATATAAAGCATATTGTTTACAGATGATTAAAAACTTAATCATCTATTTGCTATATTTATTGAAAATATATGCCCCTCAGGGTCAAATAATGCATTACATATTTGTTTCTTTTCCATGTAGAGAATGGGAACATCTGTAAGTTAAATTTGCTGCAATTTAGGTTGTTTTTCTGTTTGTCTGTGCTTTCCTATTGAATTGTTAGTGCATGTATCCTTCCAATTGGCTTTGTATTATGTGTTTCTTGTGTCTATATATTGTGTTTTAGCATGCAAGTGAAATGGCAGAGCATTCTTCTCCTGGTTTTTTATTTTATTTTTTTTAAAGTCACATCTCTGCTTTTCTTGTCCACTTTCAATGCAAATAATATTCTAGAACTGATGAAATTTTTGTTTATATACATCATTTGACTTTTTCTTCCTCAAAATCCCATGATGCAAAGTTTTTTTAAAATTAACTCATTAACCAGAAATGCACAATAGTGTTTAAATAAAAATAACATGTATTCATTTATAAACACATAACAGAATTTGCAAATAATTTGCTAATGACATTGAAAGTATTTTTGTTGCTGAGTGGTTTGCTGAGCCATATCATTGTTCATTTTATAGTCATTTAAATTGTAAGAATATATCTTATGTTGCGTATCTCCAGACTCCCTCCTATGTTTTTTTTTAAAAAACACAAGAACCACAGTAGATCCTCTTATTAAAATAAGATAAGATATGTCATGTATCCAGGTATAGCTATGGCAAGTGGCAAATATTTTTCTTCTTACTTTCTCCATTTTTCTTTTAAAATACACTAAAGACCCTCTACTGCTTTTTCCATTTTTTAATGGATTGTCTCCTGCATTTTCTCTGAGTGAGTCATCTTCTGTTTGAAAAAATCTTTCTACAGAGCACTAAAGTTCTGTTGTACATATTAAACAGCAATTAAGCCTTTATCCACACCCATCCTTACTGTACGGTACATGACTACTCTGATACAACAAAGGGGTTCCATGAGCAAGTTTTGCACCCATTGATCTGGTTGATTAACAGCATAATATCCAGTTAATGTATGTGTGTAGGGGGGTGTCACTTTGTATGTGTGTGTGTGTGTGTATTCAGTCAAATATATGGAAGCCCATGCTTTGTTCCATATAGCCTTTTGTTGAACTTATGCAAAGGTTCCTTTGCATCTGTCGCTATAAAAAGGTTTATTATTTGCTCCTTCAGTTTTGGCCCATAATTGTTTAAAAGAGAGAAAAGATTGTGTTTGAAGTACAAGCTGTTACATAAGTGAAAATTCTAGCAAATGTAAACAAAATCAATGATTAGAGCAAGATTTTGAATGAAAATAATATATATCATTTTTCAACTTCTCTTTCTTAATTCCAATTAATTAATTCCAAAAGGGATGAATCTCTTTGAAATTGTTTATAGTTTACTACCGTAGTTAGATTAATCTTGACTTCATAAAAACAATCTCAGTCCATTTCATGTTTCTCATTCACTTGGGATACTCCAATTCAGTGATTTCCTCAAAAGGGCCGCCATTTAACTGTTGCATATGTTTTAATTGGAACTAAAACTGAAAATGTTACCCAAGCCAAAAAGTTGAGAAATGCAAGTAAGTTTGTTTTATTTACAGTATGTATATATAAAGACTTGTAAGACTGCCCCTCTCACAATTTGTAACTCTCAGTGGATAACATTAAAAATAATGTAAAAATTGATAGATTGATAATAAAACACAATAATTGTATGCCTATCCTGAGCAATTTCATAGTATAGTCAGAAGAAACAGGGCTTGCAAATAAACTGACCCAAGTACCATCTAGGGTTCTATAGGTGATAGCCAGCACTTTGCATTACATTGGATGCTTACTGGGAGCCAGTGCAGATCATTGAGTGTGATGAAGGGGATATAGAAATACATATGTATAGAAATATATATGTCACTGGTGAGTTGCAGCCTCAACTGGGGATTTCAGGAATCCAATCTGGAAGTGACTAAGCCATGAATGAACACGGGCCTCCCAGTCTTGAAGCAAGTGCAATTAGTGCAAAAGAAAGCCTTCCTGATCATGGCTACCAGCTGCTTTTCATATAGGAACTGAAGGAAGATCTCCAGATCGCAAAATGCCTCCAACTGAGATAATGCAGTCCAACCCAGAACCAAAAGTGGAAAATGCCTAGATCATGGCAGATTTCAAATGCACAGGCACTCAGTCTTGCTGTGATTAAGTCAGAGCCTATTCTTCCCCACCCAAATCTCAAATTTCATTGAGATGTTACAGAAATGTATTGTGTGTTAAGAATCAAGATACTACAAATTTGCATTGAGAGAAATTATTTGTAGTAATAGAATAAGAGGATTAGAGCTTAATGTCTACAATTCCTACTTTTATCCCAACTAAAGTTTATCACTGATTTCAGATACGTTTGTGTTCAGGCTAAAAATGTTGCTTTAAAATATTGTTATGATAGATAATCTGATGTTCATGGCAGGACATTTGTGATAGATACAGCACTCTTAGCGGTCAAAATTTATCAGAGTTCAGGCAGACTAGGTATACTCAAAATATTCTGAGACCAAAATACTATGTTCATAAAAGCCATAATGACTGTTCTAAAGCCTTTATCATATGCTCAGGATAAAATGTTCCATGTTGGTTGCTCAAAACAAAATGAGATTGTTTTTAAGTGTCATGTGTTATATTATTTGCTTGTTCTCTAAGTCATGAGTGGCATATTTCAAATGTCAGCCAGGATGTTAAGGATGATATTGTGCAAAAAATAGACTATTTCCAAATAGGGATGCAAAAAGAAAAACCCTGATCTATCTGAGAAAACTGGGGGGTTGACAAAGATGCAACTCCTGCTTTCGTAGGGTTGCTTGAAAATGAATCCCTGGGCTCTGTCTGTGTCTTGTGCTGTAAAATTTGTGCATCATTCAAAAAGAGCCTGTTTCGTGTAGCGGCTAAGGTGCTGGATTAGAAACTCAGGGACCGTGAATTCTAGTCCCACTTTAGGCATGAAAGCCAGCTGGGTGATTTTTGGCCAGTCACACATTCTCAGCCCAACCCACCTCACAGGGTGGTTGTTGCGAGGAAATAGGAGGAGGAAAGAGTATTAGATATGTTTGCTATCTTTAAATAAAGTTACTTAAAAAGCAATAAAGGCAGGGTTAAAAAAACCCTAAAAAATAAGTAAAGATGTTTTAAGTCCTTGTTCCTTTAGAGCACCATGTATTAGAGACTTTCCAAGTTCATTCCACTGGAATGCAGCAAAGTTAAAACATTCTGATAGAATGTCATGAGTGGAGCTGTTTTGAACTGAGCTCCAAGCTTTATTGGGTACACCCATAAGGGAAACACAAAGCACAAACTGTTCTATTATTTTATTCTCAGTGGAACAATTCACCTTCCTTAGTTATACAGCACTTATACATTATACAGTGTGAAACTGGACGACTTCATAAATTTGGTGACAACTCTATTTTCTTTGTAAAAGAATTTTGGAATTCATCGCCACCAATCCCCCAGTTCATCCCAATTTCATTTCTGTATCGGTCTAGCCACTCTGTGCATCTGGTGAATTGAGCTGCACCTCACAAAAGCTTTTGCCTTGTAATCACATTAGCTAGGCAGAAAAAGTGCTACCAGACTCTTTCTGATTCTCTGCTAGGCAAGTTAGATTGACATTTGAGGTGACCCTTTAAGTTTAAAGCATAAGCATCGTGCAGTGTAAAAATGCATATAGATTTGCCTTTTTCTCTGCAATGTTCTTATTTTGAGCAGTTTAGCAAGCAGGAACAGTCTTTTAACTTTCAGAGCACATTGCTTCCCCGATTTTAGGAGGAATCTCTGCAGGCCTTACTGGTTGATACATCCTGTATGTAAGAACTCTAAAGACAGATTGTGTGTAGCTTTTTAAAAGCATGAAATGGCTACCATGCAAAGTTTCAGTTATAATGGATTCCAGGTGCTTTCAGCAGAGGTTGTTGCTTTGAAAGTATCCTTAGCTGATTGCTACTCAAATTTACTCCATCTGGCAGGACCAAACACTTTGGCAGCCACTAATCAGAGTCTCATTTCCACCTACTCCAATATATAAGGCATGGGAGGTGGGGTTATCTTTCCTTTTTCACTTCTTCCTTTGATGTTTTCAAATGATTGAAGCCAACATTCCCAGGCTTTGGAGGAACTCCTTCAGCAGCTTTAAACAAAGCCTGCCTCCCAACCACCCCAAGACCTTTGGAACAGCAGAAGTTCCCTTAATTTCCCTGGGATGATTGGATTGTCTGAATCCTGTTGGGGAGGCAAGGACAGGTGGATCAGAGAAAGTGAAACAGCACAGCAGAAGAATTCCCTTTACTCTTACAATGGACATAATTGCTGTCCATCAGAACATTTACTTCATGTGATTCTTGGCTCTTTCCCTCTGATTCCCGTGCTCTTTTATCTCATTGAGGATGTGAGAGTCTCCATTTTGGGGAGACAGCTCAGAGAAGTGCCGTCTTAATTTCCCCCCAGAAGGCCTTCCATCAGCATTGTCTTCAAAAGTGCCTAAGGTGGAAATCGTGGCATTCCTTACCTGAATTAATCATTTTCTTCAAAGCAGGAAATTATCTCTCTGAGACACAAGCATTGACATTCACAAATTAGGGTTGGGTGGAGATGTTTTCTCAAGATCTAAGTATGTGCCCCAGATACTGATCTTTTGATTCTTCTGTCACCAGTATCAGAGGAGGAAGATGTTTGTGAATTGGACTCAGTGGATTCTCTGAAGCAGTACACACATGGCATCTTGCAGTGAGCAGATGGTGGAGCCCTTTTAGTTCTATAATTTTAATTGTGTTTATTTCTGCAATCTATGTGCCACTCATTTTTAGCACATTTGACTATGTGCCATCAAGTCATTTTCAACTTCTAACTGCCACACAGATTTTTCCACAAAGATCTGTGCCTAACCTTTTAATCGATCTTCACTGTAACTGAGTCCATCCACCTTTGCTGCTGATCATCTTTTCTTCCCAGTTTTTCTAATAATATAGACTTTTTTGGAGGTTGAGCAGCTTGCAATAATACAAAAGTAAACTAAAATTGAAATTAAATAATAGCCCATCCAAAAACTAATAAAGGCTTTTGAGAACAGCCACTTCTGTCAATTTTCTGAACTCCAGCAGGGTAGGTGCTGACCTGAATTTGGTGAGCACTATTCAAAGAGTGGGGCAGCCCAGAAAAACATCCTCTGCTGGTCTTTAGTGTTGGCAGTTAGTTAAGGATGACTCTAAAGGTAACTTCTCTGCTAGAGTTTACTGGACGGGCAGAAACCAATGCAAGAAGCAGTCCTGCAGATTATCAGGTGATCGAGTTATATATATTGTAAAGAATACAAGTAATAGGTTGAATTGAAGCCATCTGGCAAGTGTTGCCTTTCTCACAGCAGCAGTGTTACTCTGTGAGTACTGCTTCAGGAAACCCATTGGATCCAATTACTCAAACTGCTGCATTCTGGATCCATTGTAGTTTCCAAGTAGTGTTGAAGGGCAGCCCCATGCAAAATAGTTCAGTCAAGAAATACCAAGACATGTGCTGTGAATATTTCCTGATCCAGGAATGGCCATAATTGAGATGGTGTTGTGCTAAGACCTAGCCAAAGCCATCATATGTTCCTCAAGCAGGAGTTGTGAGCTGAGGAGGACCACAAGTTACAAATAGTTAATCCAGGAGAAAGTGACCCCATCCAGAAATAAAGGTGCAATATCACTGGTCTTGGTTGGCTTCCAAACCCACATCCACCCCATCTAAGGGTTGAGCTTCAGACTGTTGTTTGCCATCTAGATCCTCGCAGCCTCCAGATTTGTTCTGCCTCCTGTACTGCATAAGTAACTGTGATCTATTAAATTGCTTAACATGCCTTCTGCCACTGGTAGGACACATGTTAAGCAATTTAATACATCAAGATTACTTATGCAGTAGAAAAGGAAGAGATCAGTCATGATGGCTTTCATTCCTCTGACATTGGCTTTTTTGCAAACAACATTCAGCAAGATCCTGGTCTAATCTATATGCAAGCTAGATATCAATCCACTCACTTCCCGGGGGCACACATCTGCACCTACTCTTGCACATCAAGAAATTTCAGTGCAGAACTATTCACCTCAATGTTCACAACACCCAGTGTAGAACCTAAAAACTTTGTGTTACATTCCTCTGTTCAATGAATACCAAGTTTTTTATCTGGTAGATGTTCTCCCTGGTAGTGAGCCAGACTGCAGAGTTGGTAGCCTTATCAGGAGGAGGAGCTCTGCATGTTGTTTCCAGCCTCATTTCTGACCATGCTTAATGCACAAGACAATTCTGTTTCTCATAGGATTCAAGATATATGCTGACTGTCATTCTGCCTGCACCCTGCGTGTTGCTGCTCAAAAGTATTGATACATTGCATAAACTAAACAAAACGTGGCACAGGTCAAATTCTCTCTGTTGCAGTAAGCTTCTATTGACTTTATTGTACTTGTGAATCTGCATAGTTCCCAGCAGCAAGGTCCAATCTTTTGTCATTCTCTCATGACCCACTATACAAAGGAATATGGCCATCTTGAAAGCCTTTTTCCCCAGTGCGTTCAAAGCAGTAACATAGATCTCAATCTTGCCTTTACAAGACACTGCAAACTTAATTTCCAAGCTTCAGCTGATGCAGTCTTAAACAGAAAAGATTTGCAACAACTAGTACTTTTTCAGTAGCACATTCAGTAAAAAGATTCTACTTGGCTGATATTGCTGTGCTGTCCTAGCTAAGAATACCCTCCAGCTACAAAAGGAAATTGTTTATTGGATTAACCATGTATTACTTTTTAAAAATACTAAATGGTTGTTATTCTAGGATTCCTCTGAATCAAAGAACTGTAGGTTTATGGTGTAGCAAATTCAAAACAGTTTGACCTGAACCCAATTGCTTTGAATTTGAAGTGTCTTGGCTGAACTGTGATGAAAGTGTTTCAAGCTTGAGATCTGCTAATCAAAGTTAATGGGATCCTTAGTGCAGCTACAGTATTTCAGTCAACAGCCAAAACATGTTATACTTGTATGGCGTTCAAAGCATTTCTTCCAAATTATTTTTGAATTGTTCATGTCCTAATTGGTTTTGGTGCTTTGCTTTTTCAGGAAGCAGCGTAATATGAATTTGATGGAAACTTCTTTCCTGGACAAATGAAACTAAACCCAGAGTTTTATCATTCCCTGATAAAATCTTATACTGTACACTATAGAAAATCAGATTATTTTGTCTAGATCCAGCTAACTATTGTTCTAAGTCAAATACAAGTTTTCACTTTGTGAGATGTACTGCTGATTAGCAAACATTTTATTTGTTAGATTTAGGAATAATGACTTCATCTTTCATTATCAATGAAACAGTATTTCTAATTGTTGTTCTATCATAGGAATGAATCAAATGTGCGAAGGATGCATACTGCTGTCAAGCTCAATGGAGTTGTGCTAAACAAGTCACAAAATGCCCAGCTGGTATTACTGAACATGCCTGGACCTCCCAAGAACAGACATGGGGATGAAAACTGTATCCTTCTTTTTTTTTTTTTTTTTTTTTTGGGGGGTGGGGGGGACTTTAGCCAAAGTCTAAAACTTGGGCCTAATCAATTTACAAAGCAAAAATGAAAAGTCTTCACTGTAACCAATTAATATAACTATGGAAACTTATTGTGATATTATATAATCAGATGAAAAAAATGGAAATGCAAGAAATAAGAAACAGGTGAACATATAAGGGAAAATAATATGTTTAATGACAACTTATCATAAATCATAAATCTTCTGAACCTTTTTCTTGTTTATCAAATATTTTTAACATAACCACAGAATACAGATACACTTTCATTTGTGAAGTATAAAGGGGATATGAATTTCTTCTCACATTTGTTTATATAAATATAGGAAAGAAAATAATATACAGCATCAATAGGTTCTTATTTTTCACTGAATATCTTTTTAAAATGGTTCTTTGATAATTATGGCTAAAATATTGGGATTTTTTTACTCTTTAAATTACAAAGGGTATATATTTCCCTCTTGTCTCAGGGAAAATATAACATAGTTGCATTGATATAATCTTGTAATATTCCATAATTTGTTTTCCTTTGCCTTTGTTTTCAGAGGTTAAAAGCAAATCCTGAATAGCACATCACGTATATAATATTATATTGTTTCAATATTAAATTGGGAGTCAGGTGGAGAGAGAGAGAGGGAGGGAGATAAAATTGAACTGTAAACTGCCCAGAGTCATTGAGTGAAACGGGCAGCTATAGTATTTTTTTAATTTTTTTTAATTTTTTTTAATTTTTTATATGCCGCCCTTCTCCGGAGACTCAGGGCGGCTTACAATGCATTAAGCAATAGCCTTCATCCTTTTGTATATTTTATACAAAGTCAGCTTATTGCCCCCACAAACCGGGTCCTCATTTTACCCACCTTAGAAAGGATGGAAGGCTGAGTTGACCTTGAGCCTGGTGAGAATTGAACTCGCAGTAATTGCAGGCAGCTGGATGTTAAATGCTGCCTTAGTAGGAGGCATTAGCCTCCTACGCCACTCAGGCTCAGGCTTACTGAATTGAATATTCAATTCAGTAATTGAATAGATAGGCAGGCAGGCAGTTAATAGGAAGAATGAGAGTTGGAGCTGATTGTAACCTGTTAAGCATGAGGAGTTGAGCAATATTACCTTTGCTCTGGACCTTTTTAATGTTGCCTTTTTAAGTACACAAGGTGCTTTAAAATTTATTTTCACGTTCAACTAGCAAAAGTAAATAATCTCTCTGTATGAATCTCAGTTTCATGGCTGGATGTAGATTTGAAAGTTCTGTCTGACTCTTGCTTAACATGTCTTCTGGGGTGCAAATTATGCATTTTATGAGAAAGAACGTCATAGAGTAGTAATATGAATGTCATATAGATTACGTGCATTCCTTACAACCTTGACTGATTTAACACCCAGACATGGAGTTTTTGGAAGTTTTGACGGAAGGCTTGAACAGAGTGCTTTTGGTGCGAGGAGGAGGACGTGAAGTGATCACCATTTACTCCTAATAATTTTACATTAGCAAATGTTGGGAGTAAAAAAATTTGGGCTAGACTCACGTTTCTAGTGTGCAGAATACAACATTTACAGTTGAATACTATTCTCTCTCCTGTTTATTACATAGATGTTTAAAGTTTGTCTTTACTGAAGAAATGGGGATGTATATATTTTTATATTGTTAATGTAGAAAACCAGGAGACTTATTTTTGTCCTTCACATGAAGATGGGGCACTGAGTATGGTCATAGAACCTATATACAGAAAAGTTTTCTTTTTTTTTTTTGATAGAGGAACACGTTTTAGTATTTTTTTAAAAATAACGATGGGTTAAATGATGGGTTAGAAGAAATAAACAAAAAAAAAATGGGGTGGGATGGGGACTCCAGGAATTGTTTTATAAATGTCTACAATTGTCATTTTACTACTGACCATGCTGAGTTACAACCATTTTCCCCCATATCTTTTCTCCTTAGTTCTGTGCTCTTATTTACGTATCAATTTGTGAAATGCCTAGCACTGTATTTTTATGAGAAAAATAGTTTAATAAAAATAATTTAATTTAGTCACCACAATTATTTAACTATTTGAAAGGGCACCTCTGAGTTTTATTTATTTACCCTTAAGTTGTTTCATTAAGAAGATGATTTGAAAAGATCATTTGCCAGTAACAGGTGGATCAAATCAAGATTGTATTCTAAATACATATTCACTTGTGGAATAATCTCATGTTTTTAGGAGAGAACAGTAAAAAAATCTAGTAAAATAAAATTACATGTGAAGTTCCAGCAATCAGGTTTAGTTGCAGTAATTGCATCAACCATTATATATATATATCAATTTCCTTTGGATGACTACTAAGCAAACTGGCAGAAAAGAACAAAAGAAGGTTATTCTGGCCAATACACAAATGTGCACAGCACGTCGCATTAGGTCATGGAGTGGAAAGCAACCTGAAACCTACACAGATGATCCACTTAAACAGCCAAAAGGGTTTTGTTTCAGCCTGCAAAAAACAAACCACCCCTTCTTTTAGTGTCTACACAATCTCTCCTGTACCCTTGTTGTGCAAACTACTTAGCCAGGCATTAGGTGACCTAGTCCCAAGACTCAGACAACATTCCCAAAATGGGCATGATGAAAACATGTAGATTGGTATATTTTTCTAGTCTGTGAGCATTGAATGCATCTAAAGTATGGCTACTGGCAGTTAGAACCTTCTCCCATATGTAGGTTCCATACATTTTGAGCCATATCCTAGAATAGTTATTTTTTTCTGAATTCCTCAAGATATTTTTCCATCCTACTACATTTTCCCATTATCTTTGTTACTGTCTTTTCACGGATGAAGACTCAAACGATTCCTAACCTTCACTTGGTATTAATGTATCCACTATTATAGTGAACTTTGGTTTGTTGAATATTTTCTGTGTCAAGACTCCACTGCAATATGATTACCATTTTTAAAAATATGAAATGGGGACATAGCTTTTATATATCTCTGCACATTTGTGAATTATTAAATGGAAATATCTGTAAGTTGCATTAGCATTTCCACAAATGTAATGGCTCATATGTTTTTATCACAGAACTTAGTAATGAGAAACTTAACAATAGCTTCATTCACTATAATTTGTTCACTGTTTCTCTAGTTTATTTTTGTAGGTTAAAATTGATAGTTGCTGGCCAGTCATTAGGGATAGTCTAATTACTTATTGATTGCCCATAATGAATTTCACGGTTATAGTTACACAGTGTTCTATATAACTCCACAAACATTTAGAAAATTGTTCTTTCAAATGACCTTAATAGGCTGCTTTGAAATACTGTGCATCATTTTAGAATCACGGAGTTTGGCAAATCACTTTGGAAGACAAAGGAATTCAAAGTTATCTGGAATAATTGCTTGCCTGAAGTAATAAAATGTTCAGAAGCATATGCTAATAGTAGAGCATATGCTTTGTGAGAAGAAAATCCCAGATTTAATTGCCATGATCCCCAGGTAGAGAAAAATAAATCTAACTTCCTCAACCAGTATTCCCATTAAAAAGGAAATACATTCCAATTCAGTTTTCCAATTTAAAGTATTTGATCTTGATTGGAGTCATTCAAATATACACTCCTTTTTTCCCCTTTGGATGTTTATTGTCTAGAACAGGTGTCAAACTCTATTTCATTGAGGGCCGCATCAGGGTTGTGTTTGACCTCAGAGGGCCGGGGTGGGCACAACCAGGGTGGGTGTGGCTAGCTCGACGTCACATGTGTTGAGGGCGCCTGTGATGGCCCGAGCACTCTGCCTGTGAAAACAGCTCCCGTGCTCCATTTTTGGCTGCAACGGCTGCCTGCAACCCTCTGCCAGTGAAAATGGACCTTGGGAGTTCCGCACATGGTCCTCGGGAGCTCCATTTTCAGCTGCAACGGCCTCCTGCAACCCTCTGCCAGCAAAAACTGAGCTCCCTTCCGAGCTATCTTTTTCCTGGCAGAGGCATGGTGGGCCAGTCTTTTGCTGTATCCAGGGCAGCTCTGCGGGCCATATCTAAGCACCCTGTGGGCTAGATTCAGCCCCCGGGCCTTGAATTTGACCCCCCTGGTCTAGATCTTCATTATCATTAGTAATATGGTAGGGTTTTTCTCTATTAAAGAAATAATATAATGTTTGTTTATTTGAAAGAAGTCGAAGGGAACCTTGAGCTGCTGGATAATACTCATTTGATCCTACTTGTTTCTCATTTTAGTATGTCATACCTTGTTATCCTTGTTCTGCTGGCAATTTATTTATTTATTTATTGGTTCGAGTTATATGCCGCCCTTCTCCGGAGACTCAGGTTGGGCCTTATCTGTTTTTCTGTCACTTGCTACATGGAGTCTTGTCTGTGCAAGTGACTTGTATCACTATCTGAAAGTTCTTCTAGATAAGCTGTAATATCAGTGAAAGTATCATGCTGAAAGGGGAAATTAATCATACCTTTGCAGAGATGTTTTGCTTCTTCAACCAGCTGATAATATTTTGAGGAGCTTTTAGGAATAATTCCTAAGGATATAACAGTTGGCCTGCAAAGCTGATGACATTTACTTAGCAACTTCTCAATAGTATGCTGTGTTCCCAAAAATGAAAAAAAAAAAAAATACTCAAAAGCTATGTTAGCTATTCTTCGTCTGGCAATTAGCTGACAGAAGAAAAAAAATCTATTGTTAGTAGCTTATCATAAATATGGTGGATATGGGTGGCTGATGGGGGAATCAAATGTACATAGATCAATAAACACTTCAACTGGTGAGACGTTATTGTTTTCATTCTCTGAGCTTTTTTCTTTGGGACACAATGGGACAGAGATTTTTCAAATAGGTTCTGACACCCTTCTAGGGAAATATATCTTTGCATCCATATATATCAATGGTGCTGAAGCAAAAAATTCAAGAATTCAGACTAAGCTGTAGTTGTATAATGAATATTTTATCTTCAGGGAATTTTCTGCAATTAAAAAGTGAATGCCTATATATAAATAGCAGACAACACTATTTCTATTTCGACTGTGCTAGCATGCCTTTGGGTTTAAGGTAATTTAGGAATGCCTAGTTTTGAGGTATTAACTCTTAGTTGCCAAGATTTGAAACCACAGGGGATAAGGCATGATCATAATCTACATTTTCAAAGATACTATTCTGACTGGAACATTGGTTTTAGATGATAGCTCCCATATTACACTGGAATTTATAACTCCAAATGTCGCTAGTATGTTAATTTTCCTAATATTCTCATTCCATGAGAATGTTATAGTCTTACTAAAAATTGTAAAATCTCCCTTGAGGGAGGTGGATGGTCTAGAAATATGTAATATAAATAAATAAGGTTTACCTTTACTCCTCAATTTCAACATGTTTTTATTTAGGTAGACTTTTAGTCAGTGGTGAAATCTAAAATTTGTTACTACCGGTTCTGTGGGCGTGGCTTGGTGGGAGGGGTAATGTAATTGGATGGGCGTGGCCAACTTTTTTTTTTTTATGTTTAAAACCATTTTTTCTACAACCTCTTCGGCCGAAGGGGTTGTAAAAAAATGCTTTTAAAAGCCTCTGACGATCCCAGCTGAGTTGCCTGATCGTCAGAGGCTTTTTTTCTTTTAAAAGCCTCTGACATCCCAGCTGAGTTGCCTGATCGTCAGAGGCTTTTTTTCTTTTAAAAGCCTCTGCCGATCAGGCAACTCAGCTGGGATCTTCAGAGGCTTTTAAAAGCATTTTTTCTACAACCTCTTCGGCCGAGAGGTTGTAGAAAAAATGCTTTTAATTTTTTTTAAAAAAAGCCTCCGATGATCGCGCGGCTCAGCTGGGCATGGGGGGGGGGGCAGGGATTTTTGCTACCAGTTCTCCGAACCACCCACCTCCATCGCTACCGGATCAGATGATCCAGTACGAACCAGGAGCATTTCACCCGTGCTTATAGTGTGAAAGAAAACATTCATATTCCCATTTTTAAAGCACAGAGGATTCATTTTCACTTTTTCCACATTTTTACACTCTTGTTGTTGTTAGGTTTTACTTGGCAACTCTATTTATACTTCTGTCAGAAGAGCCTACCTTGAACTTTTCTAAAGATTTTTGAAGTAGTTTATTAGAACCCAGTCTCTCTCTGTTAGTTTGCTTAATGCTTATTAAATGTGTTAACTCTTATTAGTATGAAATGTACTTAGATTAAAAAGAAACATTCTATGATGAGATGTTAAGCCTTGTAATTAACATATTTTGATTATGAAGCCTAGTAAATGAGAAAATCAGCATCCTTACACTGAAGATTCTGATGTAGAGCAAAGATTTATTTTTTATTTTAAACATTTATATAGTTGCTCACCGTATACTGAACTCTGGGCAGCTTCCAGTCAAGAATTACAACAATATCAGTAATAAAATAAAGCCACATTAAAACAGAATCATGAACATTAAAACCAAAAACCTAGCACCAAGTGAAATCTCTGATATGTACAGTCACCTTATCTTACCCAAGAGCTTGGAGGAAAAGAAGTCTTCAAAACTTTATGGAAGGCCAGGCAGGTATTTCAGAGGACAAATGTTCCATAGGACAAGGGCTGCTATAGAAAAGACACACTTCCTAGTTCTCATAAGTGGCAAAGTTTAAGGGAAGAGACTAGGAACACGTCCACTCTATCTAACCTGATAAGGCAGATGGCTGGCTTTTTCTTAGGGAAAGGCAGTCCTACGGATAACCTGGCAATGCACTATATATGGCTTTAAAGGCAATAACCAGCACTTTGAATTGTATCCAGGAGGAATCTGGAAGCCAGTACTCCTTGTATAACGAAGGTGTTACATGGGTAAACCTAGGGCCACCTATCACTATGCACTGCCACATCTTGAATCAGACCATGTACGCATTTTCTCACATGACAATCGGGATTCAAAAATTTTTATTACCAGTTCTTACTGGGCGTGGCATGGCTTGGTGGGCATGGCAGGGGAAGGATACTATAAAATCTCCTCTCCCCACTCCAGGGGAAGGTTACTGCAAAATCCCCATTTCCTCCCGATCAGCTGGGACTCGGGAGGCAGAGAATAGATGGGGTGAGGCCAGTCAGAAGTGGTATTTACTGGTTCTCCGAACTACTCAAAATTTCTGCTACCGGTTCTCCAGAACTGCTCAGAACCTGCTGAATACCACCTCTGGTGACGATACTTGTCAGCTCTTGCTCATCAGATCCTCAGATTTAGGACAAATCTGAGTATCTTGCTTTGAGTTGATTATGTGTTTTAACTTAGTATGCAACATCTCCATAATAAGAGCCAATTTTAGTTTATATCTTACTTTTGTAAGGACCAATTTTCATGATAACTGCACAATGAAATAAATGGCCTAATCGCTAAAGCCATATACGTTTTAAAGCTTGATTCATATAATAAAAATCAGGCTCTGATGCATATGCCAACAGCTCTTCTATGTTTGCATATTTGTGAAAATAATCTTTTTGTAGGTGGGGTAACAGAACAATTTTTAAATTGCAAATGGATGTGAAGCTGTTCTTTGCCCATATTTAAAAGATGTTTCTATGCCTCAAAGGAACTGAAAAATAAGGAAATTCATGGCCCAATTGCCTTTTATTCTGCTCTATATGCAGTGGCAGTGTCTCTAGAACTGGATCGGTTGCTTAATATGAGAACATCAATTCCATTCATGCAATATAATTTTAATTTAAAAGCGGGATAAAATATCCAAAAAGGCTACAGTAGACTTTATTTAATTTGAATTTAGTAGCTGCCCAATTCCAATGGATTTAAGACTAGCCTTCTACTCAAATATTTAACTGAATATGTGCAGAATTTTTATGTTCTTCCTTTATTTCACTGGTAATCTGAAAAAAAATTGCAAAGTGATTCCAAAAGTTTAACAGCATTTATTAGGGGAAAGGATATGCTATAATGGATGCCAACTATAAAATTCCTGCAGTGTTTCAAGCAGCAGCAGAAATAGCCACACTTAATTCTTGAGAGGCCACATAGGGTTTGCCTGAACTGCTTTCTTATTTAGAAAAAAGAAGTGGAAGAAGGAAAGATTGCCATGTTTTCAAGTCACCCCCAACCTTTCTTAATTTGTGCTACACTTCTATTTTTATTCGTCCCCTCCTTGCTTCAGTTAAAGAGGATCAGTGGGAGCAGTGCACATTAATGTGCATGTGAGTCACAACGAGGATAATCCAATAACCTTTTTTTCCTGTCTAGATGAGCAGTATTTGGAAAAGGTGTCGTGATTTTAGAGATGATGGGGGAACCTAGATTTTGCACTCAAACATCAGTGAAAATATTTGTGTGTGGTCCTATAGCTTCCCATCCTAAAATACACCTGTCCAAGTAGGACGTTAAAAAAAAACACTAGACTACAGAACCCAGTTGGATTGTTGAAGAGAATCCATAAACATATCCTGATGTTTACTGAATTAGAAAATTATCACGGTACTGCAATTAATTTCTGCAACATTGGCGCGAAAGAGGAACATTCCTTCTTCTGTGACTTGGAATATGTACATAAGGAATTGTTTTTTGTCCTTTTTTATTTTATAGTTCATTCTATTCTAAAAAGCAAAAGTAACAAATCATGCAAAGACCAAAATAACCTGGGATATCATTGAGCCTTAATGAAACCTAAACTACCCACAAAGTCTATGTATCAGTTGTTTGGGAAATAATTACCACACATTCTGTCTAACATAGTTACACATTCTTTTTTATTTGGTACCATTCTTATTTTTACAGTGTGTAGAAACATACAGTACATATGAAACTGCTTTCTCCTTATACAGCCTGTCTCCTCTGCCTTCCACTGCAGTTAAGTCACCCATCTCAATCTGGAAACACTAATCCACTTTGAAATTGTTGAACCACTGAATGTAAAGTGTAGCATTACTTTCTTACAACTACTACTCCTTGGCGCTGAAAGTTAAATGCTATTACCGGGTACTTGAGAAACTAAAGAATACCAGAACTTTATGCCAAAAATATGTTGGTCATGGGAAACAGTGTCCTGAACAATCTTGGGCAGGGGACAGGAGAAGGACCAGAAGGTAAGCATATTTTTTCTATTAAATATGATTGAAAAAAATAAATTTTATAACACTCAAAAAGATAATATCTCATGTTTATACTGAGGTAGATGAGTCTCAGAGTTTTGACAATCAAAAAGCAGGAGCATTTGGCAAAGCTCAATATCATTACAATCTGCAGAATATAGCAAATTTTAGGAAAAAAAGTCATTTGCATAATTTATATAGTCATGGAACTCTGCATATATTGATACAAAATGTGTATACTTGGATTATACTAAGTCATCAGTGTTAAAACTATAAAATGGAAGCAGATTAAGAAACTGCATCATAATGGGTTATTCTGGAGCAAAGTTTTTGAGAGTTGACAGAAAACGATACCTTATTTAAAGGTCATTAACTCCGGTCATTAATGAGCACCTGGAGATTCTGCGGCAGCTCTGCACAAAAGCACCAATTTTGGGGGTTTTTTACATTGCAATGAACTTGTTAAAGTTGAGGCAAGTTCTCTTATTAAACTGATGCAGCTAAAAGAATACATTTACAAACAGGCCCTTTACAGATTTATTTTTATTTTTTCATTCAAAGGATCTCACCACAATACTATCTGATTACAAGCCTCTGAAACAGAATAGAATATACATTGGTTGAATAAACCAACAATAAGCCACTCAAACCATTGGTGGTTTAGGATACCATGACTTCTCCGTGTTCTCCCTCCAGAAGGACATTTATGCTGTCTTCCTAAATGAAAGGAGCCCTTTCATTCATGGAATGGCCAGTCTAAAGGCTAAGTCACTACTTATGAGCAAGATCCTAATGATCTTTTCCAGGTGGGGCAAAGGTGAATTCCCTGAAGCTCTGCCACATTCCTAACTAGAGTTCTCTCCATATTTTGCCTTGCAAAGAAATATCCGATTCTCTGCAGATTATCATAATCAATTTTCTCCAACAAACCTATCTGGATAAAAGGGGTTGTGGGGGGAGAAACCTGTTTGGATAAAAGTACAGGGGGCAGGGAGAGAAGGAGTTAATGGTTACCTGTTGATGGATTTGTTCAAGCCCACAATTCACCTACTTTGTGCAACAGCCGGATATCTCTTATAAGTCAAATAATGAGATTTACTTTTTGTAGTTGTCACTGTACATAAAAAATAAAAACAGAAGAAACTTGTTGAGAAATTAATGTCATTAAATCTGGGAGAGGGTGTTTCTATCACCTTTCAATGTTGAAATGTAGTACCTGTTATATATATACATACATACATACATATCGGTCTATTCTCTTCTGTAATTTAATCCAAGCATATCTCTTTATATATAGATTACAATTTTCCCTTGGGATTGCAGATTGTCCAGAAGAGCTTATCAATCATCAGGCAAACTGTATAGGATACCGTGTAGGATAGCAAAAGTCTGTCATTACTGACTTTCCTGTAAAATATTGGGAAATGCTGAAAGAGTCCTACAACTTTCTCCAACCAGCACCCTACAAAGTACCACTACCATAATCCATAGTAAGAATGGGGATAATGGGAGTTTTAGAAAAAAATACATTTGAACAACGCATGGTAGGAAAAGAATGTCAACACATGCTGCTCGGTTTGGTGGGTTGACAGATAAACCCAACTGACCAATTTGGCATGTCCAAATAGAAACCAAACCTTGGGCTGGGCCCCAAACTTTCTGCAACACGCAATACTTCAAGGTCTCTTCAGGCAGTATGAAAGCCATTGTTCTGCACCTCCAGCATGACAGGAATTGCTCTTTCCCCGCCATACTGATACCACCTCACCAGCAGATGTTTGCCATTTAAACTGGCTGCTTTAGATCCATTAGAAGGGCATCCTCTTTCGTCTCTGGTTTGATCAGGTTCTTCTCAGGAGGAATCATTACTTTCTCATCTGCCTGAGAAAGGTGTTTTGATCCATCCCCTTTGTCCTTCTTCACTTTCGTTATCACTTCAGTGTAGGAAATTTCTTCAGTGGCTGGTTCAGCTTCCCTATTTTCTGTTGCTGTTTCAGGGCCAGATTCTTGGGTTCCTTGTTGGCCTTCAGCCCCTGGTTGCTCTTTAGTTTTCCTATACTTTTTCAAATTCTCCTTAATTGGTGCGACATTGGCAATATTTTTCTTGAACCGTATCCCAGTCTGTCTCAGCCTCTCTCCTGATTGCCTTATTCGTTCTCTTCTCTCAGGTGTTACTATTCGAGTACGAAGCCTATCCACCTTATTGCCAAAATTCTGCCTTGTTTTCTGAAGGTTCTCTCTTGAAAATGCTTTCTTGATGTTGTTGATGCGCCTCATCCCCAATTTCTTAAAACGGGCTGTTCGGCTTTCTTCTATGTAATACTCCTCATCAGAAGAGAGATCATCAGGTGGGCAGAAGGCATCTTCTGTGCTTTCCCCTTGTGTTCGGTCTTTGACAACGGTCAGAGAAGATGGACACTGAATGTCTTCCTACAAGTAAGAGCACAATGTTATGTCTCTATCACACTTCTCAAAAATGGTTCAAAGTGAATTTAGAAAATTCCAGATATTTGCTGCCTCAGTCATTCTGTTTTATGCTAAATTTTTCAGAACATTCACAAAGATTAAAATAGCATAAGGGCCACTCATTATTGTTATTCTGTCCCTGTCCAAACAACTTTCTAATTTTTCATATGTTAGGAGTTAGTGCAGACCATACCATTAATAAGAAATTAACCACAGAATCATATTCTTAAACTTTATTGCTCTTTCCTCTTTAACAGTGTTAATTACTGTTAATAACAGTTAATAATAACCCAGATTTGAGACCAGTTTTGGTCAAGAAGAAATCCTGATGAGTCTTTGTAGCATAATGAGCCTTTTATAGTAATAAATATTAGTCACACATACACACACAAACCTTATGGGGAGTATACTTTCGATAGACCATTCATGATTAATTAAAAACAGTTTTGTCTATTCCAACCTTTGTTGTTTTCAGTACAGCTACTCTGGAAAAACTGTAGAGTTGGGATATAGAACCAAGTTCAAGAATATATGGAGAGTAAAAATGGGCAAGTGATCACAATCAAAACCAAGAAGACACCTAATGGGGATTGTGCCTATGGAGAAAAATAGAGCAGCAAGGCTTGGAATTCTCCAGGTAACATTTTAGCAGTGTCCAGATCACCAAAAGGCTACAGATTTACTTATAGAAAAGCAATTATGTCCTGAAAATATTCTGTTTGATCTCTCTATCTGAAAGAAGATCATCTTTCCCAACTAGGAGAGCGTTGACCAGTTCCAGGTCTCGAAGAGAGATGCAAATGTGGCAATAGAAAGACTTGGAGAACTTTTTAATGTATTTATGAAATGAATATATTGCTTCAATGTATACACAAGGAACAGTGTACATAAAGAGCAGTTATAATATCATGCAGCTAAACAAATAAACATTACAGTTACTGTAATATAAAAATTAATGTATCCTGCCAACAACCTTCTAAATATCACACTAACTAGATATCATACTGACAACAATAGCCTCTCATGGCCTTCCAAAACAGCCTGGTCTATACCTAGAATTGTCTTCTAGGCCAACCCCCTACCCAGATTGTCACATCATACCAGGAAAATGGCTGTCCATTTTTTAAAGTCTTATACTGATGGAGCATCTACAACTCCAGGAAGGAGGTTGTTCCATTCCTTAATGGTTCTCACTGTCAGGGAATTCTTCTTTATTTCAAGTTTGGATCTCTATAAAGCTTCCACTCACTGGTTTTTGTCTTACTCTCAATTGCTATAGGGAGTCAGTTCAGTCTCTTACCACTAACATCCCTTCATGTATTGGAAGACTGCTATCATGTCTCCCCTTAGTCTTCTTTTCTTTATGCTAAACATACCAAATTACCAAATTATTCAAAATTCCAACCATCCCCTTACGATTCTTGTGGTTGTTCTTTGCACTTTTTCCAGTTCTTCAGCACTTTTTTTTCCTATTATGTTGACCAGAACTGGTCAGTTTTCCAGGTGTGGTTTGAACAGCCGAACATAGAATGTAATATCACTTGCTAAGATTTTGACACCATACTTCAACTGATGCCACTCAAGATTGCATTGGCTCTCTTGCCAGCTGTGGCATACTGTTGATTGATTCTTAATCTGTGGTCTACTGGGATACCCAGGTCCTGCTCATAAGTACTGCTGCTAACCCAGATACTGCCTAACTTATACCTGTGCAACTCGTTTTTTTCTGCTTAAATTCAGAGCCTTACATTTCTCAATATTCTCATGCATCTGGCTCTGAGATTTAGAGACTTCCTTGCATCAGGGAGAAGAAATAAGATATTCCAAAAGAGGGGAGCTCCCACAGAGAATGCTTGCTTCTGTGATTGCTCCCATTACACCTATTATGGGGAAGGTGTCTTAGCATTTGCTCAGATTGGGCAAGTAGATTGTGTTTGAGAAAGGCAGTAGCCTGAATTACAGTAAGATAGTTGATAAGGCTGTTCCTAGTACATCAGCTAAAGCTGAGACTATGGTTTCCAATTGCTCTTCTTGCAGGACTGCGAGTCCATGAGCAGCACAAGTTATCACCCTGGATTCTGCTTGGGACCACAAGTCAACTGAGAGACAAAGCTGGTACTATTCCAGAATCATCAGGCCTCTCAAATGTAGAGACTAAGGAAGATGACAGAAATATGTAAGCTTTGTTGCCAAGGTTATAAGGAGTAAATATGGTTTAAATCCAGAACATCGAGTTAACATTTTGAAGTGGTTCAGGCAGATATCTCCCAAAGTCACAGAACTAAAAGAAGGAGAAGTCAGTCCTTGATTTGCGACCACTTGTTTAATGACCATTCAAAGTTACAACAGTACTGAAAAAAGTGGCTTATAACCCATCCTCACACACAAGACTCTTGCAATATCCCCATGGTCATGTGAGCAAAATGGGTGCTTGGCAACCCACATGTATTTACAATGGCTGCTGCAGCCCCAGGTCAAGGAATTGTCATTAACAACTTTTCCAGAAGGCTTCCAACAAGGTCAATGGGGGAAACTGGATTTGCTTAATGACCATGTGATTCATTTAACAACTGTGGCAAAAAAGATTGTAAAATCAGCATGACTTGCTTGTGACAATATTGCTTAGTGATGGAGGTTCGTTCCAATTGGGACTATAAGTGGAAAACTACCTGTACAACACAGTCAGTTGTGTTTTGTTTCAATAAAGGTACTTTTAGCCTTCTGTGATTTTTTGGACTGGACTATAGTGAGACTAAAAGAACCAATAGCCGCCTTATCTTGCTGAGGGTGCAACTGATCCTCTTTCTCCCCATCCAGACCCTGCCATCTTCCTGCCAGCAGATTAGAACTTCCATTGCATTCTCCATTCAATCTGCTGTGGAGATTCTCAATTGAGTAATATCACCTTACTGATACCTCATCTCCAACTGGCAGTTTACTTCTTTCAGGGGCATCGCAAAGATTTTTTAATAGGACAGGGAAAATACTATAACAGCTTCTACTGGCATGCTCTAAGACCCAGCCTCTCCTCACCCACCTCAGTTACAACCACTCACTCAAGGAACAGAATCATCAGAGTATGGGATCTCAAACAACCCAAAAAGATGCTATTGAGAAATCTAGTAGAATAAGGATTATCATACTCCTCCTATTCAAGCTCTGCCACAGGTCATCCTTGAGGCTAGCCAATATAATTTGGAGCCCATAACATAGTTTAAAACCTGACTGTCACAGGTCCTAATAATCTTCCCCCAAAGAGGTTGAAGATAGATCCCATACTATTTAAATTAAGCCTCATTCAAGGCTGCTGGAATCTGCCCCCTGCAAAGAGGCATTGATTGCAGCCTGGATGCAAGGATGTTCTGGAGATTAATCACTATCTTCCATCATCTGAAAATGTCAGAGAATGAACCTGGGTCCCTGGGTTTGTGCATCACGCATCCCTAGTATTTCCTTGAAGGTATTTTGCTCTTTAATGGAACATACAGCAAGAAAAGGGAAGTTCAGGAAAGGTCAGCATATAATTCCAATTCTGAAAGATTTAGAGATATTGTCTAACATTTCACCCAAAACTTTGAGGAAAAAAATGTAATTTGCTTAGTTCAGCAGGCTCAGTTCTTCCAGAGAAAAGATAACTATGTTGATCCTTGAACCATTACAAGATAAACAAGTAAGCCAGAATTCATTTGTTTCTGACACAAGTATAAAGTACATGATAGAATGGAGTAATGTGATAGGTTTTTTTCTTTTTTCAAAATTAAAAGAAAAGGGTATTTAGACTTAAACTATGCACCAACCTGAAAATGAGGTGGCATTCCTTAATTGTTCTGTTACTGATTTTAAGGTTGAGGTAGGGTTTCTTAAAACAAACCAATGTTAAGATTAACCAGATTTGAAATTTAAATAAGAAACACTTTGTTTAGATTTGAAAACGTAACCTTCCCTCCCAACTTCTGGGAAAGAACAAACATGACTTGCTGTAGTTTCTTATTGCCGTTAAACATGGCTTTGCTGCAAATCAATCCATCCTCCACAAAACCCCACAAAATGGCTGCTTTCAGCTAAGCAAATCATATGAACTTAATTAAAAAATTATGCTTGGAAGCCATAGTCAATTTCCAATTATCTGTAAGAGCAATGTCTCCCAAATAGAGCAGTATATAAAACTATTGCTTAATACTGGCTTTTAAATCTTGGTTTGTTTGGAAGCTATTAACCATAGCTCAAATAGCTCAACTGCTATTTCCTCCAATATTACTAAGCAACTTCTTTCAAGCCTGTCAAAATCACAATAAAGCAAATTTTAGTCTGAAGAGTTTGAACTCTTGCACATTATACAAAAATCTAAATAATATTTAAGTCAACATGACATTCAATATTCTTGTCAATGAAGTAAGATTGTTGACCAATTGTCCAACTAAATCTCTTAGAGGAAGGAGAGAATAATCAGTTAATTGGCAACTAAGGACGATATTTGCTGGTTTCCACTAAACTCCATATTCAATGATGATCAATCACTTTTGGCGAAAGTGCTTTCAATATTAATCAACTATTCTTCTGTGTCTTGGTACAATTTTGCTCCTTGTTGAGTTGGGGCATCTGCTAAGCATCATGGAAAATGCAAACATACTGTTAAGCCTAGCTAAGCCCATGGACCATTCAGCCACTTGGCTATTTATATCCTATCTATCTAGCGACGATTAATTCTGCTTTCTAAATATTGGATCTTGCTCTGTGAAGAACAGACATAACTAGAGATGACATTTCTAAATTTCATAATCAACACATGCTAGCATAATTCAGAGAATGAATATACATATATATAACGTATTGAGTCCCGCTGTTACAGCATCAAAACCCATATGTACGAGAGGCACATACAGTAAATGTACCTAAGATTAGAATTTTTTGCTTTTATAAGTGAGCCATACCATCCACAATAAAAATAAAAGCAAACAGTAATGCAGGATGATTATTTTTTTTCTGTACCCAAACATGACAGCCACAGTCTAATGTCTTTTATAAACTGGCTTATCTGGAAATAATAATTCTCATGATTTCAGTGCAAGGAGCAATCCGGCCAAAAGTAAGGACTGCTAAATTTATTTTTTTAATTTTTTAAGGAAGAGTTTACACAAGCATCTATAATTCTAATTTTGAAAGAAACATGAGTTCAATAGGACTCATCGCAGCAAATGAGTTGTAGCTGAAAAATATTTAGATTGGATTCTGCCCACTATTTGTTTCCAGTGCAGCACATCAATTTTCAATTAATGTGATATGTCAACTTCCTCAGAGTATAAAAAATTACACAAATGAAGGCATTTCATGTATCTTCAAGAATTTTGATAGACAAAACAGCAATATTTTCCCACTGCAATTGTTATTCTTTGAAAAAAAATATAATATTCCAATGGCTAAAAGTGAAGACAATGTAATACCTGATGACCTTAATGAGAAGGAAGGAGTCTGAATCTCTAACAGGATTTGGGATTCTTAAACACACTACTGCATTTGCAATTTCAATGCCCCTGCAACTAAGCACAATATTAATTATTCGGACAGAGCATACGAAATCAGTGTTACGCACAAAAAACACTTTGATTAGGATGGAACCATTCTGAATAACAAATTAATTTAACACAAGAACCGTTCACTTCTTTTCCAAATGGACACTTTGAATTTTGCAAGGCAGTTAACCTTATTTTCCCATCTTATTTTGAGATGTTCATTTAAGTGCCAGGATTTTGTTTTTATTTATTTATATTTAGACAAAAATATATATTTCTTTGGAGGAAAAGGGAATTTGGAAGCAAACTGTTGCATGGAAAAACAGCAGAGAGATAGCATACTTATATTAAAGGCAATCGGTTAGCAAAGAAAACACAACTCAGCTCTTAAAGGTGGGGGGGAATACCGCATAATTAATGGAAGCACTACACTGTGCAAAGAATTGCTGAGGCTGAATTCTCTACTTAACCCTCTGAAAAAATAACAGGGACGACAGTCACGCCTGGAATACTAGTCATGATACCCAACTGCCTGCCTCAGATTGCCTTTCACAGATGCAACACATAGTCTTGCTGATCTACACTTAATCTTATGTTGGCTGGCTGAGAGACTTCCCGAACTAATAATAGACTGACTGCCTTGCCACCAGTGGATTCAAGCTCCAGCACATTCAGAAGCAAAAAAATCAATGCTGGAAAACCACAAAGCATTAACACATTTTGAGATGGAGAGAGCTTTTTTAAAAAAAAATTCTTTGGATTGTTAAGCAAACCAGAAAGTGTGAAGTTGCAATAGCAGGTAACAGCAGATTTTTTTAAAAAAGAGGTTTACCTGGTAAATGACAACACGAAACTTGTTTTTCCTCAGCATTTCTTCCTGTTTGGTCTCCACATTTTGCACATTAACATTCTGCTTCTCTACTCGGGCTCTTACTTCTTTGACCCGAGCACTAACTTTGCGTGTTTTCTCCAACAGCTTGTTAACTGTGTATCCTGTGTTGCCATGGGCCTGAGCCAGCTTTAGAATGTCAATCTGAATGGTCTTGATGGCGTCTTCCATTTCTCTGTGGCGCTGCTCAATCCGTTTTTGACTGGCCTGCACGCTGTCTACTATGGTGGCTACCTTGTCCAGGACTCTGACAATGGTAAATGCAGCATCTTGTTCTTCTTCATCATCTGTGATGCTCGACTGGCGGTTTGGGTGAATTTTATCCATTTCCAGGGCTGCACGATGATCCATACTTCCCGTCCTCGGATCAGTCTACGGGAGTTGAAATATAACAGCCGTTCAAACCTCAGTGGGACAATCCTGGCACTGATGCCAGAAGGTTGCTCGACAGCTGTCTTTAAGGGAATGTTCAAAAGCAGGGTCTGAAACTCCACCCCAAGACACTTGTCAAATATTTATACCCACAAAATAGCCACGCCTGATTGTTCAAAGGCCTCCTGCAATATGAACCCTCTAAAATTAGGAAGCAGCACACTGGGAAGGGAACATGCACTGAAAGAAGCACATTCATATAACCATAAACATATCTGAATTAATCTATGGACAGTAAACAATATAGCAATCAAAGAACTAACCCACAGTCTATTAAAATCCATGTTGCTCCTATTTTTAATTTAAATTATTATTTTTCTTGCGTTCAAGCAGTAAGGAGAGGATCAATGCTTTCTAACAGACCTTTGACAATTGAAATGACATTTCTCATTTTCTTTCCAAATACATAGGTTGTTCCTTACAATAATGAATAAACACATTTGGGACAGATTAAATAAGAAAAGAAAACATTGCATTGACGTATCTTTCCAGTTGAAATATTCAAAGCCTTTTTATTGAACAAATTATTTATTCCTACATGCAGAATTGGAAAGCCTAAAACTACATGTTAAAACAGTTGGAACACACCCTAGTTACATTTTAGCTCTGAATCTTCCAAACATTTACTAACATCCTATTAATATAATAAATACAACCAGCAGACTTTATTTGGAGACACATTCTTAGCTCTTGAAATTATTCTTGACAAGAGCACAAAATCTCTTATACTATTTTTGTTTTTTGCATTTTAATCACAAAGACTATACAATTGTGTTTGCTGATGTGAAAACAGGTATCTTCTTTAGAAAACTGTAGTAAATATGAAAATTGTTTAAACAGTGGCTAACACAGCTACATCCCAATCAGGTATGTGGATTATTAACATAATTCTTAACAAAAAAGCAATATATTTGTCTCTCCAGGACAAATGTGCTCTGCTCAGCTGAGCAGTTTTTCGAATAATGAACTGTATATTATAATTATTATTTTACAATTTAAAAATAAAGTGTCAGCTATTTATGAAGAAGATGGCACTGAAACCTGGGCCATATATCTTGGATTGGATCCAGACTAAAAAGGCAGTCCTTTACATACTTACCTGGGAATAATTTCCATTAAACTGAATGGGACTTATTTCTGAGTAGAGATGTATAGGATTGCATTCTAAGTTAATTGCACAATTTGTTTTCATTGAAAACAATGGGAATTTAGATTAACTCGTCCACTGATTCTTATGAGCGCTAGGTAGAGCTAACTTAGTCTGGATTCAGCCCATTCTAAATGTTACAACTACACACAAAAACACATCTCCACATTTCATGCGATTGGCGGTGTCTAAAAAAATCCATTACTAAGTTTTAAAAACATTTAAATATCTACGGTATTTAAACACAGTGTCTTCTAGTTCCTCGTAAGAAAAGTATGTTGTAAACATCTTTACCCTTTTTGCTAGGAAACATGATGGGCTCCATTTTCATTCGTTGAATAACCATTGGTGAAATGTCTCTCTTTTCAAAATTCTTACATTCCATGATTAAAGCACAAGTCTTATCAATATAACCATGGGATACAAATACAAGAAATAAACTAACACCTTCCTCAAACCATGAAATGAGAAGTTACTAGAGCAGTCCATAGCTGTTAGCTGCTTCCTGGAATAAAACGAGACAGAGCTACACTAAAAATAATAATAACAATAATAATTAAAATGTCCAAAAATAAGGCCTCTGAAATAAATATTCCCATTGTTTTAAAAAAAGTTAATAAAATTGTACATCACATGGTCAATGTAGGTATAAAAAAATGCCGCTAAACCATTCTGGATGACGTATCTGAAGTAAAGTGGCCTAGATTTTGCTTCTGCCGCCGTCCTCTGTTGTTTTGGGGACATTTCCTGTTATCAGAAGCAAGCAGGAGAAAAAAAGGAGTCAGTAAACCAAAGTATTTAAAAGCACTTTTTCACAATTACAGGCAGTCCTGGCTTAGTGACACAATTGGGACCAGCAATTTCTGTTGCTAAGCGGTGCAGTCCCTAATGAAAATATCACGTGACTCTGATAGATTTATGATGTCACTTTCCATTGGGTCATTAAGTGAGCCACTGTGAATTGTTAAACAAGATATTGCATGAACATGACTTGCAATTTTAATGCCATTGACTTGGCTTGTCAGAAGCCGGTTGCAAAGCACACAAATATTGATCATGTGACACTGGGACACTGTTATGGTTTTAAACACCTGCCTGATGCAAGTGATCACCTGACTATGAAGATCAATTATTTGCAATGATTTTAAACACAAGCCCTGGTCATAAAGTTACTTGATCAGTGCAGTTGTAACTTTGAACCGCTGCACAACAGGGCAGTCATTAAGACAGGTATGTATGTATGTATGTGTGTATGTATGTATGTATGTATGTATGTATGTATGTATGTATGTATTTGGTTTTTCTGTTGTTCTTATCAACAAGAGAATAGCTTAGATACCTTGGGCATTCATTAGAGTAAAAATACAGTAACTGTTTATAACAGACACTGCAACAAAAAAGTCATTGCAACCAGTCCACCTATTAGGAGCCTCAGGAACATTGCAGGAAAAAAGTTTGCACCAGCAAATAAATTCTTTAAAAAAAAGAACAGGTGCTGTCTGGTATCTATTTAATAAGGGGCATGTAACCATCCTCCATATACAGCCCCCAGCCCCCCCTCTTTTTTACAGCTCCAGATATTCCAAGATATTTTACTCTCCCTCCAATCAGGAAACCCCCTAGTTAGAATGCTTGAGTGTCCAAACAGACAGAAAGGAAGGTGCCATGTTAATTCTAACTGAATGAATGAACAAATACACACAATACTACAGCTAAGAATGCCACCCTGTCTCTTCCACTTATCTCGGTATCATAGCCCTTATGGCCTGTGATAGGTGAAAACAATATTTTTAAACATTAATTATTGTGGAGGGAAGATAATTAGTATTTCTTTTGTTATGTACAATTAATGTAAAACCTCTACAAAGAATACATTTGAATGGAGTACTCGATGCAGTGATAATATAGAACCTGTTGCCAGCTCCTAATATTTGAAATTTCTGTATTACACACTTGTCAAAGCTCAGATTCCTGAATCCTTTGATGCCAGAAACTAGTGAGGCTCTCCTTCCTTTTCCTTGGAATTATCTGGGGGTGGGTGGGTTGTAAATGGGTATGTAGAATGAGAAAAAAGACATTCCAGGAAGAAAATTAAGAGTCATTTAATCAAGAAGCCACTATGAATCATGCTTGGCATCGTTAACCATAGTTAAGGCTCACTAGCTTTGCCGGATATCCTCTTTCTCCCTCTCTCTTCATAACCTTGTTTGGCTAAAACAATGTTTCAATCAGTACTGATGGTCAAGTGCCAGAAACTAAGACCTAAATCTTATTATCAAAGGCTGCAATCCTGTATACATTTCTTGAGATTAAGCTTGTATAACTTGGTGGGATTTATTTCTGAATAAATATGCCCCAAATTTAAGTTGATGGCCAAATACATGTATTTTCCACATATCACAAATCTGATCCTTTAACTGTTTTCCTGGAAAGTCTTATTGCTGAAGAGCTGGTAAAACTGCTTGACTTGCGTTTAAGTGTATCAGCAGAATAAAAAATGAAAGATAATTTTATTTTGCCTTATTGAACAACTTCAAAATTATTTGAATTTCTTTCTTTTTTATAAACCCACTCTGAGTTTGTTGCTAGAACACAGGCTATTCACTATCAGCTATTAAAGAAGAGAAGTTAAGAGAATTCTAAAATGATATGAAGGAGACCCCTCATACTCACTAATTCTGGGTTAATTTCAGCAACTGGAGGCAATCTGTATTGGGCAATTTATTGCTTATGTTGGCCATGATATGTCATCCAGCCAAGCAAGCAAGTGCTGACCTTTGAATTATATTTTGTTAATGCTGTAGGATAAAGCTTTGGGGATACAAAGCAGAAAACTATTTTGAGCACCGTTATTGTCCAGCAGGTTGACTGATGTATGAGATCAGTTTTTTGAAAAACAATGTAAGCCATTTGAGGAAGCAATAAGCGCAACATTATAGTATAGATAAGATGTAGAATTATAGAATAAATACATGTGGGTGGGTGTGCCTTCAAGTCAGCCTGTGACTCCTAGTGACTGCCTGGAAAAGTCCCTGTAGGTTTTTTGAAAATGTTTTTTACAAAAGTGGTTTGCCATTGCCTGTTTCCTAGGGCTTGAGAGAGAAGGACTGGCCCAAAGTCACCCACCTGGGTTTGTGCTTAAGGCAGGACTAGAACTCATAGTTTCCTGGTTTCTAACCTGGTGCTTTAACCACTGCATCAAACTGGCTCTCAAAGGTACATAAACCCAGTTTCTAAACCCACTAAAACTGTCACTACTTTGTTTGACAGCAGACAGGCCTTCTTCACTCCTGCAGACCATGCAATTGAGCTGACAAATTTATTTATTACTGATTTATTTATTCAGTTTATATAGCCGCCAACTCAGTCAGGTGAGAAGGCACCTACAACTTCATATATGAGAAAGTATTCTTGATATTATTTTCTTTAATATTTTCTTGCTCAAAAAGAATATTATATGGAGATCCAAGCACATAGTAAATGACTCACACAGATAGAGAAGAAATTCAAATTGTTGCTTCACCATGAGGAATTGGAATTAATCCTGAGTGTAAATAGGGCCACAGAGAATCTATCTTTGACATGGGTGTGGATGAGCAAGCAGCAATCCTGTAGAAGTATTTTAAGCCATAGCATGGATTAAAGGAACAAGAAGGGCTGGTATGTATATCATATTCCACAGCCTGATTTCCCTTCTATTTCTTTGCTGTACTTATTCCACCCCTAGAAGTATCTGAGATGAATGAAGCCAACATTCCTCCTTGTAGAACATTTTAGCAGAGTTTGAGATCAATGATATAGAAAGGGGGACAGGCAAATAGGATGACAAACAGATAGGAAATAGGTTGATTCCAATACAGTATTGATGTATTCAGATCTCCGTGCCAACATATTATTGGGGGTGCAAGTTAGTGAGTGAGAAATTCTCAAGTTCCCCCTTCAGTTTTCAGGATATGTGCTCATTTTCTTTATATAACTGTACCTTTCATTATATAATTATATCTCCAGTGATTTGTATCCTATGCTTCAATTAAATCCCAAGAAACTTAGGGAGAGAATTCCTCCTTTTGGCTTTTTTTCAATAGCAATCCAGCTGTCATTGCTAAGGGGGCGTCCCAGTTTTGACAAACTGCTGAAGAAATTCTCTGGCCCCTTTCTTCCTCTGCCCATTACAATTAGTAAATAATTTTGAAAGACCTTCAGCACTGAGTTTTAATTCA